CGAAATTTAACTGCAAAATCCTCATTTCTCTACAACAAATTATCACATGAAATATGTTTTACATCAATATTTCTCTAAAAAATTCTACCTTTTTAAAAACATATTTCATATGGCAAATTCTTGTAGAAAAATGAGGATTTTGCAAACTAAACTCCGCCCTTCACCTCATGATGAATAAAACATTCATCACAATAGAGACAGGGGTGGGTGGGTGGGGCTGATATTTTGTCCATTTTATCTTAATATATGAAGTCTTCTTTTCCCAACAAGAAACTGAAAACATGTTTAACTTTCTTGTTATTGACAGAAAAGTCTATATATTAAAAAAAAAAAACAAAACAAACATTAAGGCCCACCCACCCGCCCGATTTCAATTGTGGTGAGTTTTTCATTCCTAATCAGACTGAAGGGCGAAGTTTAACTGCAAAATTCTCATTTCTCAACAAGAAATTATCATATGAAATATGTTTTTACATCAATGTTTCTCTAAAAAATTCTACCTTTTTAAAAACAAATTTCATGTGGCAATTTATTGTAGAGAAATGAGCATTTTGCAAACTAAACTCCGCCCTTCAGTTCATGATGAATAAAACATTCATTACAATAGAGACAGGGGTGGGTGGGCGGGGCTTATATTTTGTACATTTTTTCTTAATGTATAAAGTTTTCTTTTCCCAACAAGAAACTAACGACATGTTTAACTTTATAATTGTTGAAAGAAAACCCTACATATTAAAAAAAAAAATTAAGCCCCACCCACCCGCCCGATCTCAATTGTGATGAGTTTTTCATTCCTAATGAGACCGAAGGGCGAAATTTAACTGCAAAATCCTCATTTCTCTACAACAAATTATCACATGAAATATGTTTTACATCAATATTTCTCTAAAAAATTCTACCTTTTTAAAAACATATTTCATATGGCAATTTCTTGTAGAGAAATGAAGATTTTGCAAACTAAACTCCACCCTTCAGCTCACGATGAATAAAACATTCATTACAATAGAGACAGGGGTGGGTGGGCGGGGCTTATATTTTGTCCATTTTTTTTCTTAATATTCGAAGTCTTCTTTTCCCAACAAGAAACTGAAAACATGTATAACTTTCTGGTTATTAAAAGAAAAGTCTACATATTAAAAAAAAAATAAGCCCCGCCCACCCACCCGTTTTCAATTGTGATGAGTTTTTCATTCCTATTCAGACTGAAGGGCGGAGTTTAACTGCAAACCCTCATTTGTCTACAAGAAATTATCATATGAAATATGCTTTTACATCAATATTTCTCAAAAAAATTCTACCCGTTTAAAAACATATTTCATATTGCAATTTCTTGTAAAGAAATGAGGATTTTGCAAACTAAACTTCGCCCTCCAGGTCATGATGAATATGAACATTCATCACAATTGAGAAGGGGTGGGTGGGCGGGGTTTATATTTTGTCCATTTTTTCTTAATATACGAAGTCTTCTTTTTCCAACAAAAAACTGACATGTTTAACTTTCTTATTGTTGAAAGAAAATTCTACATATTAAAACAAAAAATTTAAGCCCCACCCACCCGCCCGATCTCAATTGTGATGATTTTTTCATTCCTAATCAGGCCGGAGGGCGGAGTTTAACTGCAAAATCCTCATTTCTCAACAAGAAATTATCATATGAAAAGTTTTTACATCAATATTTCTCAAAAAAATTCTACCCTTCTAAAAACATATTTCATATGGTAATTTCTTGTAGAGAAATGAGGATTTTGCAAATTAAACTCCGCCCTTCGGCTCATGATGAATAAAACATTCATCACAATTGAAAAGGGGTGGGTGAGCGGGGCTTATATTTTTTCCATTTTTTCTTAATATGCGAAGTCTTCTTTTCCCAACAAGAAACTGAAAACATGTTTAACTTTCTTGTTGTTGGAAGAAAACTCTACATTTAAAAAAAACCATAACAAAAATTAAGGCCCACCCGCCCGCCCAATCTCAATTGTGATGAGTTTCTCATTCCTAATCAGACCGAAGGGCGAAGTTTAACTGAAAAATCCTCATTTCTCAACAAAAAATTATCATATGAAATATGTTTTTACATCAATATTTCTCTAAAAAATTCTGCCTTTTTAAAAACATATTTCATATGATAATTTCTTGTACAGAAATGAGGATTTTGCAATTAAACTCCGTCTTTCAGCTCACGATGAATAAAACATTCATTACAATTGAGAAGGGGCGGGTGGGCGGGGATTATATTTTGTCCATTTTTTCGTAATATGTGAAGTCTCATTTTCCTAACAAGAAACTTAAAATATGTTTAACTTTCTTGTTGTTGGAAGAAAACTCTACATATTAAAAAAACAAAAACAAAAATGAAGCCCCACCCACCCGCCCAATCTCAATTGTGATGAGTTTTTCATTCCTAATCAGACCGAAGGGCGACATTTAACTGAAAAATCCTCATTTCTCAACAAAAAATTATCATATGAAATATGTTTTTACTTCAATATTTCTCAAAAAAATTCTACCTTTTTAAAGACATATTTCATATGGCAATTTATTGTAGAGAAATGAGGATTTTGCAAACTAAACTCCGCCCTTCAGCTCATGATGAGTAAAACATTCATTACAATAGAGACAGGGGTGGGTGGGCGGGGCTTATATTTTTCGATTTTTTTTCTTAATATAAGAAGTCTTCTTTTACCAACAAGAAACTGAAAACATGTTTAACTTTCCTGTTGCTGAAAGAAAATTCTATATATTAAAAAAAACAAACAAACAAAAATTAAGCCCCACTCACCCGCCCCGATCTCAATTGTGATGAATTTTTCATTCCTAATCAGTCCGAAGGGCGGAGTTTAACTGCAAAATCCTCATTTCTCTACAAGAAATTATCATATGAAATATGTTTTTACATCAATATTTCTCTAAAAAATTCTACCCGTTTAAAAACATATTTCATATTGCAATTTTTTGTAGAGAAATGAGGATTTTGCAATTAAATTTCGCCCTTCAGCTCATGATGAATAAAATATTCATCACAATTGAGAAGGGGTGGGTGGGCGGGGCTTATATTTTGTCCACTCTTTCTTAATATACGAAGTATTCTTTTCCCAACAAGAAACTGAAAACTCGTTGTTGAAAGAAAAGTCTATATATTAAAAAAAAATAATAATAAAGATGACGTTATTATACCGTGCGAAAATTTGAACGTTAAGCCAAAAAAGTGAAAGCGGATTCGTATAATACAAGTATAGGAGTATATTTTTGTATAAGATTCAACTCATTTTAAGATACGATTCATTGAGATGACGTCAACAAACTGTTGGTGATTAGCAAAATTTTGGTTAGCATTTTATGTTTCCAATATACATACAAAATTTGACAACAATCGGTCCAGAAGTTTTGGGAGATTACAGGTCTAATATAAATCGATACAGACACCAGGGACAGACAGACAGACAGAAACGAGAGACTGCTTATTTTGTACTCTAGGGGTCATGGGACGTCGAGAAAATATAAAAGTGGCCATTCGTCCGATGGACTCGATTACTATACTTCCTTCGCTTACGCTCGGAGAGTAAAAATTTGTTTTTTATTCTTTAATAGAGTCGACAATCAAACAGTGAACTGATTTGTTGCGTCTCTTTCGGACTATAGGCCAGTGCCGAAGCCTTTGAAAATGGTAAAAGGTGAAAAAAAAAAATAGAACAGGATGATACCCATTGAAAAAGGAAGAAAATATAACAAAAATAAAAGGAAAAATAATTTACGGGCGATCTGAGGTCGGGAAGTGGAAGAGGGGGAGCTTTTAAGGGTAGAAAACGGTTTATCACGATTTCCGGCAAAACTACAAGTCCTATCGCAAAAAGTTAAATAACAAAGTTGTAGGTAATAAAAAGATCTACAACTTTTGTATTTACACTTAAACAAGCATAAGATGCTGATGCTGACATAATTAAGATCTCCATAGAAACTGCCAGAAATACTAATAAAACTGTCATAGTTTGGGTAAAGATATTGATCTTTTGGTCCTTTTGAATCAATTGAAGAAAAATTTTTTGGTTTGTCAATGTAACATGGAATCTTACTTTTTTCGAGTAATTAAAGTGTAAATTTTAATAAATATCTCAAAATTTTACATGATTAAAAAAAAATCGGATTCGAGTTTTTTCCTTTTTTTTTGGATTTCCTGTGAAAATTTGCCATAGTAATGTATACTTTTTTTACACTATCAGAAACTAGAGATTTCAACGAACAAAAAGCACACGGACTTTTTTAAAAAAGCAAACATTTTGACGTGAGAATTTTCGATTAAAAATGAGGGTGGTTTTTGGATATTAAATCAAAATAAGGGGGAAAAATAAATATTTTGAATCAAAAAAACTACAGTGAGTTTGGGACATAAATAGGTAAGTTTTCACCAAATTTCGTGAAAAAAAATTTTTTTTTTTGTGGGAGATAAAAATAAAAAACCAAAAACGCAGTTATTTGCATTTTTCGCATAAATTTTGAGGTTATGCAAAAAAAGTCTAAATACAAAAGTTGTAGATCCTTTTATTACCTAAAACTTTGCCATTTAACTTTTTTCGATAGGAGTTGTAGTTTTGCCGGAAATCGGATAAAACGTTTTCTACCCTTAAAAGTTCACCCTCTTCCACTTCCCGACGTCAGATCGCCCGTAAATTATTTTTCCTTTTATTTGTCTTATATTTTCTTTCTTTTGGAATGGGTATCAGCCTGTTCTAAATTTTTTTGTTCTCAAAAATTATCAGCACTGGCCTACTATGTAACTGTAGCACTTGTTGTTGCTACGTGTTTAACTGGTTGCATAAACCGCGAAACACCAATTCAAAAATAAATAATAAAACAACGATGGATTTTTAGTCCAAGACGAAAATAATATAAACAACTTTAAAAATGTTGACCATAACGAAGAACTGCAAATTTTTTTTCACAGAAACGTTTTGGCAATAAATACAAAGTTCGTTTAGCATAACATGATTTTTGTCTATACTCACCTCAACTAAGAGATCACTCATTTCATTTTGCATCTTATCAATTAACAACTCTACACCCCGCAAAATTTCGGGTTTGGCTTTATGCAACACGTTATTACTCATATTAATATTTAAAGTCTGTGCATTCTGTTGCATCGCGTTGTACCGTGCCACCTCCTTGGCCATCGTCGTAATAAACGCTGCAGGCCTAGAAAAAAACACATAATCATCCCACCAATCTCCAACGCCAGCCTTTACCTCGCCGTCGCTATCAGCGTCAACGCGTGTCTCGCCGTCCGACAAGAGTCCGCCTGCGGCGTCAAAGGCAACCCATATGTCATACTCGGCACCAGCCTGTCGGCGTCCGAACACAATTCTAAAAGACCTAGCGACAAAAACCGACTTAAGTTAAGCCACGACTCGCTGCAGCAAGTCACCTAATAAAACTTTGCTAATATCTAAAAACGGCGCCCACACCGTGAACCCTCTCCCGATCAGATCAATGGCCGCCCTCCGCAGCGGAATGTGCGCCGGCAGCTTCGGCGAAGGCGGCGCCAGCAGCAGGTGCGACAGCGCCATCGCAGTCAGTCTTGCTAGATTATTATTGCCTTGACCGAAACCCTCCACTACTGAGCTTTTCCGCCTGTCTTCGCTCGCCCGCCGCTTGTTGTTGTCCACGCCGGTGATGTCCTGGCCGAACTCGGCGCCGATGACCCCCAGGAGTATGACGGCGGTGGATTGCTTGCGTTTGAGCTCGGACAAGCTCGAGGGTTTCCGCACCTGCTCCTCCTCCTCCTCTTCGAACTCTTCTTCCTACGAAAACACCGACACTCTCTGGAGTACACACAAATGTAAATACGTACAGCTGTCTCCGGTGATTGCTGCAACTGGCCAGAATTGACGTGGTTCATCCCGGGTGACGACACAGCTTGCTGGTTGATGGTCTCGGTTTGGGTGTAGAGAGGCAGGTACTGCGCCCAGGCGTCCACGAGGGCTTTGCGCCCCTTGGGGCCCATCCTGGTCAACAAAACATAGCATACACTACCCTCCTTTAGCGAATGCATGATACACACCTTGACAACTCCGCCAAGAGCAGCGTCTGCGCCGCCTCCCGCACCTCCACGCAGTGGTGCTGCCACCTCTTGGCCATCATCTCCACCTGAGGGCGCTTGAAATTCTTCGCCCCCGCCTCCACGACCTTATCCGGCAGCAGGACGCAGTGCAGCGTGGCCAGCAGAGACCAGCCCTGCTTGATTTGCGCCTGCTGCTGGGTGTACATTTCCTCGTGCTCCTCGTCGGTTTTGCTCCAGTTGACCCGGGTCGACTGACGGTGTAATTTCCGGTTTCTTTCCTGCTCGGGGACGAAGGTGGCGTTGCTCATCGACATCAACGTGTGACTGAGGGCGATGATGGCCAGCAGGTGGTTGCTGGTGAGGGTCGTGCTCAGCTCCCAGTGGGTGTGGGAGGTGAAGATGCGAGTCAAGTGTTCTCGTTTCGCGAGCTCTGGGTACATGTTGCAGATTTTGTCCTCGAGGGAGGGTAAGTCGTCGGGGATGCTGTCGTCGTCTACTAAGATGGCGCTGTTCCAGGTGGGGAGGAAAAGGGACATTTGGTTGGCTTTGGAAAGGAGGCCGAAGGAGATGGGGACCATGGGTCTGAGGAGACCCAGCTTCACCTGGCAGACGCGGTCGAGGTCGTTGTCGAGGCCCCAGGAGTGGAGTAGGGAAAGGAGGAGTTGGGCGATTTCCATGCCGTGGCTGGTGTCCAAGGGACCCAGGATAGGTTTGCTGTTAGAACGCGAGTTTCCGTCGACTCCATCTGTAAAACGGTTTTATTTAAAGCACCTCCAGGTCGTAAATTTTAATAATTATAATAACATCTGTTTGTTAAAATTTTGGCCGTTATTTTACAAACTCTGTTCCAAAAAAAACCTTTGCATAACCCGTATATTAACATTTAAGTATGACGACGACCTTGCCGAAATAACAAGATCAACGTAGGTGTGGTCCGGGTGTTCCTGACTCAGGCAATAACCCGACGTGGATAATGAACAAATAATTTTTACTAAAACGTGCATTTACATGATACGGCGGATCCGTATTTCGTGGCTGTGTAGTAGATCTTGGTAATGTTATAGTAGGACTTGAATCCTCTGGGCACCCCACCCTTGCTCGAGGCAAGGTCGCCTAAATGTAATTTGGAAGTTCACACTTTTCTTAAGACAATAATTAACGGCGCGAGTTCTTAAAGGTCAATGTCAAAAGCTAAAAATACGTGTATCTGAGCAATTGGGGCTTGTGGCAGATCTCGGTTATGAGGTCCAGTTTTGGAAAATTATCATTAATAGATAATTTAAATTAGTCTAAACGAGTAAAGGACAATGACTGGCACAAACTCTCATTTGAATGAACTGCAAATGTACGTTCAAGGGCTGGAAATTTACCCGGTAACGTTTAGATTTTATTTTTCACGCATATAAATTTTTGAGGTTTTTTCGTTTGTTAATAATTTTTTGAGATGACGTCACCAACTTACAGTATAAAACGAAAAAATATTTAATTTAATAGTTTTTTATGGGGAAAAAAAATTATTAATATTCTGTAAATTTAAAGTCTTGACGTAAAAATAGACATTTGTCAAAATCACGTTAATCGTGTTATTCCATTAGTTCGAAAATTAAAACACAGAATGACTATTAATGATTAAAGCAAATTTTTGTGTTGGTAATTCTGAATTATTGGCAGCAATGTTAACATGTTAGTTTACAGTTGATAAAATGACTTGGTGCCCCAAATTTCAATTTAACAACACAAAATTTTATACATGTTGCCAATCTGACAAAAAAATCACAATCATTAATAGTCAACCAGAAGATTCCAAATGTGTCTAAATTTCGGAAAAAAATTGACGATTTTTTTTTAACAATCGACGAATTAATCAGCTGCTGCACAAATTACAAAATCTGACTATAATTTTTTTGGTAACCCATACAAGGACAGTTAATATGTGTCTACTTCAGTTAATATTGACTTAATTAAATTTTATGACATCATCAGTTTTTTAAAAGAGATGAATCCGAGAAATTTTGGTTGGCGTTTATCAAAGAACCTCAGGGACTGACAGCGTCAATATTAGACACAAATTTTAAGCGATTATGATCTTTATTACAGAGTAGACAGAGACAAAAAAAAGCTACAAAAGCGAGCAGACATTGATAGACAATATTTTTTCGTAAATTCAAATTAAATTGTCAAAGTCAAAACAAAGAGTTATTTTCGCTCAAATTTCAAACTGTCACATCTTTTGTGTTCCGGTGTTGCCATACTCTCGATGGTCTTAAAGTAAACTTAAAATTTGGAAGTAAACAGAGAGTTCTCATTGGTCAAAATTTCAATATAGTTTATCGTTTAGAAAATTAAAATGTGATAAAATTTGAAACATTTTTGCCAAATGCTACAAGGATTAAGATGATACTTATTGTTTTAAGCGCACTTGACTTACTGTTGCCAATTTTATGTTAAAACATAATCGATATTGTTGACTATAAAAATTCCTCACATACCTTACTCAGATGAATAATTCTGCGAAAAAAAACCCTATGTTTGTCATAAAACCTGGTAAAAAATATGGAAATAAAACCAAAAGTCTTTATACATATATTTTATAAATTATTGAACGAGAAGTTTGATATCTATTAAATTGGGTTATGTTAATTTAAAAACAATGAATTTTAAAAGAATTTACCATAACCAGCACCAACACACGATTCTTATCAGATCAATAAAGAGCATTTTTTTTAATTAGTGACGATTTTTAAAAAAGCTGACGGACCATTCAACTACCGGTCCGTATATCACTGCTCACTACTACCAAAATTCAGGAAAACAACACTTATGACAAATTAGAATAGGTATTAATGTCACGCAGTTTAAGGCAAACAAGTATTGGGCGTACCGATCTGGACAAGGGTACATCAGAATGGTATAAAACGAAGACCACGAACACAAATCACTCAGTTGACTCTTGAAATCGACCAAACACATCAACATGAAGTACTTGGTAGGTAACAACACCCAACACCTCAATATTATTATGTAATATAATTTAGTCATTATTATTATTCGTAAACCCTTTCAGGTTGCCCTCTCCTGCCTTTTGGCCGTAGCCCTCGCCAAACCCAGCGGCGTCCCCTTGGCCTACTCTAACGTAGTGTCCCACCAGGTTGCCGCCCCCGTGGCCTACTCCAGCTACAACACCGTCGCCGCTCCCATCGCCCAGTACACCACCCACGGCGTAGCCGCTCCCGCCGTCGCCGCCGTAGCTCACGCTCCCGTAGCCCACGCCGTCGCCGCTCCCGTGGCCACCAGCTACACCACCCACGCCGTCGCCGCTCCCGTGGCCACCAGCTACACCACCCACACCGTCGCCGCTCCCGTAGCTCATGCCGTCGCCGCTCCCGTAGCTCACGCCGTCGCCGCTCCCGTAGCTCACGCCGTCGCCGCTCCCATCGTGGCCGCCCCCGTCGTCCAGAAGACCCAGTACCACGCCCAAGACGAGCTCGGCCAGGCCTCCTACGGCCACTCTGAGCCCTTCCAGGCCCACAACGCCGTCCAGGACGCCGCCGGAAACAAAGTCGGCTCCTACAGCTACGTCGCCCCCGACGGTCAAGTCATCGCCGCCAACTACGTCGCCGACGGTTTGGGATTCCGCGTGGCTTCTAACGCCCTCCCCGTCGCCCCCGCCGTCGTGCCTGTAGCCCCCATTGACACCCCTGAGGTGGCCGCCGCCAGGGCCGCTCATTTGAGCGCGCATGCTTTAGTCAAGTCCCGCGTCCGCAGGGGAGTCGTAGCCGCCTACGCCGCCGCTCCCGTGGTCCACAGCGCCTACGCTTACCACGCCGCCCCAGTGTACAGGGCCGCCACCCTCAGCACCGTGGTCAACACCCCCGGACACGCCGTCTCCTACCATGTTTACTAAATGCGCGAATTGGACAAGAGAGGTTTGAGTGTCGGGACGAAGCTTTTTTCTGTGGTCGAAGATAGTCGCAGAGTCCCGACACTCAAAAACGACCAACTTAGTCAACTTTAACTCTGGGAGTTAACACCGTTTCGATTTTTTGTATTTGTTAAAATAAAAATAAACGCAACGACACTCAAAAGCTGTTTTTTTTTTTAAAAGCACTGTAGGTTTTTCTTACCTTTCTGGGCGTCGCCTCCTTGTTTGAGAACGCTCTCCGCCTTCGCCTGGATTTTCGTGTGGACCGTCTCCGCCCCCTCCTTCATTTTTGCTAAAATTCCTGATTAGAAAAAGCGCGTTAAAACCCCGGAGGGACATCCACAAACACATACTTATGGAAAATATGTAACTATTAATTACTCGAAACTAATCTGTAGCTGAAACTATGTACACTAAGCTAGAAAAAAAATATTTTTACCATGTTTGTCTTTTTCCTTAATAATTCTCTCCATATTTTCCGCCTTATCTTTCACTTTTCCAAAGAAGTCTTAATGCAAACATACAAAAAAAAGTTTGAGTTATTTACCGGTCCTTGGTTAGCGTGATTATAAATTTAAATTATTGCCCTTGAAACAAGAGACTTTTTTGGAAGGTGGAGACCAAAGAGTTCCGTTAGCGCGATCGCATGATGAATGATGGAATAGATCAAGGTTTTTGATACGCTTACTCCAAATATGACGCGCAGTAGACGTAAAAATTCAAATCATTAAAACAATATGTGTCTGGAAAATTCGTGATCGCGATATTAAAAACGAAAAATACGATTTTGTCGTACCAAGGGCAATAATCACGACCATTAAAAACTTCTTAAAAACATCCAGCACCAACTACAACCACAAAAAAATCCGCTCACCTACGATTTTCTTGTGAGCATCAGGACTGGCGCTCTGCGTGAGCGCCGCCACCTTCAAATACTCCGACTGCGCAATCAAACCCGCCGCCTCCAGACTCCCGGGCGACATCATCGCGTACTCCTCATTCAACAATTCGATAATCAGCGCTTCAATATCAAAGAACAAAATATGACTCTCCGCGTCCTTGGGATTCGTTTTGACTCCTTGTATGACTAGAGGCGAATTGTGCGTCCTCTGCATGTGAGGATCGTCGTTGTTGGCGTGCGCCCCCAGCTGCTGCAGCTGGTGTAGACCCCTCTGAGTGGCGTGCCGAATCGCAGACAAATTCCTATGCCTCAAACCCCTAAAAAAAATTGTGGTCGTCGCTCGTAGAAAAAAATCGTGATGTCGTTACCGGAAAAAGTGAACCGCGGGGTTCGCCAAGCCCACTTCGGACGACGCGTTCGTGGCTTCGTTTTCCTCGCAGGCGTACAACACTTCTTCAGCTGCGATTCCTAGAGTGACTTAGTTACATTGAGTTAAAAAAAATTGAGTATAAACCTTGTAGGACTCGGTCGAGGTGTCCCGTTTCCATCTGCCAGACGTAGACGGTGCCGTCCGAGCAGCCGATGATCATGAAGTCGTCCAGAGGGCGCCACTTTATCGTGGTGACGGGGAAGAGGTGCCTCGATGCTAAACAGACGCATTTTCGTTCGGTCAAACTTAGTAATGTGACGGAGTGATCTGAAGCCACTGAACACACACACTTTTGGATTCGCGTCTGAAAGAACGTCGGTGACTTTGTGGTCAAGGTTAGGGGGTTAAAACTTACGCTGCAGTTGTTAGGGGGGACCAAAAGTTGGGTTATCTCTCCGGCGTGGACGCAGAATCTGTGGAGCAGAGTCCCGGCGTACAAATCCCAGAGGCAGACGGCGAAGTCCACGCCTCCGGACACCAAGTGGTTTTTGTCGTAGCGGGAGTGTTCCCTGTGGGGGTACAAGAGACAGTTGACGCGGCCTCCGTGACCCGACAGGACTTGGTGCGGGGGCCAGTCTGAAATTAACAATGAGGCTTGACGCACAAAAATTTTTAGACAATTTTACTGTTGAATTCTTGGTGGTGTCCGTGGAGGAGTTGTAACATGACGGTTTGAGTTGCTGACACTATGATGATGGTTCCGTCCTCCCGGCCAACCACGAGTCGACTTTGCAGAGGTAGGTAAATGCTAGCGGTTAATTTTATAGCTGGAATTAAACTAATTGCAAACTCATATTGTTTCACAAAAGTATACAGACATCCTCCTTCCCGTTTTTCCAGCTGGTCTAGAATTCCCACAGGACTCGGGACCATGCTGGCCCAAGCCTCAGACAAACTGGTGGTCAAAGTAGCCGTCATTTGTACCGGTTGCGGTGGTTTTTGATTCTGGATTTCGTGCAACTGAGCAGGCGATATCTCGGGAATGTTCCACACCAAAACGTAGCCCTCCGAATCCCCCCTCAGTAGGTATCGATGTTCCTTGTTTTGGCGGCGCGTCGTCACAAAGCGCATGGCCGGCGGACACGACAACAACTAAAATTCTAACCTCAAAAACGCTTCACCACTTCGCTCTTACACTACCTTGTTGTCGGGTTGGCTTAGAAGACAATACAGAAAAGGACTATCACTCTCTATACTTGGCGTGTGGAAGTTTTTGTTATCGGGAATACTGCTGCAAGTAGATTTGATAAATTAAACCGTGACTTAGGGTACCGCGGAACTGTGAGAGAAGTAAAAACACACCACAAATAATTATTAAAACGAAAAGCTCTTCTTGTAGAGATTGGCTCCAGGATGAATATACAAATGTTAAAGTTGGGGGGTAAGAAAAAAGTCGTTTTTAATTCAGACGATAAAAAGAAACAAACCATGCAAAATTGTCAACACAAGTAAAGAAGCGCAAAAAATGTGTGCAAACATCCCCTACACGAGTGATTTTCGCAGTACCCAATCACTGATGCAGAGTCGGCGCATGCTCCCAAGCAGTCCGCATTAACTCAGCCGCAAAGCAGGAAAAAAACACGTAAATGGAATGATTGTCTAACCTATTGGTAACATTCTTGCCACGTAGTTTGCTGTGTCCCATGATGAAAAAAAAATTATCATTAATATTGGTCTGGCTAATGGTGGGTGCATCAATAATCAGAACAAAACCAAATGAAAAATGCGGAAAAACAACCAGTCATCGTCTTTCAAATTTAACAGTTTACCAACGCACCAACAAGTTAATTATAATGTATCCTACAATGTATCTGTGTACCGTGTACGTGTGAAAACGCGCCAAAGAAAAAATCTTACTTCGCTGGCAGTTTATAAAGGTACCCTTTCCCGGCGTCGGACCACATGATGATGCGATCTGCCGCCAGGAAGTCGCCGGACATCCACCGTTCCCCTCGCGGCGCCAAATACGAACACAGGATGCTGAAGTCGCCTGGAAATGGACCGTCAAAAGGGGGCGTGTCGACGGCGGCGCGCTTACCTGCGTCATACACTTGCCAATATTTACTCACGACCACCAACACCGTTCGTTGATTGTTTGGACAGCACTGGATGCAAACAGCGTTCAAAGGTTTGATTTGTTTGCTTTCGTTCTCGTAGATGGGCTCCGAGTGTTTGGTTTCGTGGCCGAGGAGCGTCCACACTTTCACCATCCCGGTCGTGGTCAGGGCCAGGACCACGTCGTCTTTGCGGTTGCAAGGGCGCAGGACCTGGAAATGTTTCCCAACATTCGCATTTAAAAAACTCATTAGATCGTTTCATCGCAATCACACTAACGTTGCACTAAAAATAAAACAACAACAGTAACAGTAAATATAATTAATTGGGTCATTAATTGCAATAATGACACAAAACCATAATGGGAAATAAAATTTCAAAAATTTTGTATGACACTTGCGCTGAAAACTGGTGACATTACGTCAAAACAAAAAAACACTAAATATTTATTAATGCAGTTCAGAGGATGCTTTCACTTTGTAAAACTATTTTAACTTCAATGAACAATAAATTGGATAATTTCGGTCAAAATGGTGGGTGGCACCGTTTTCCTATGATTTATTAATCCGCCCCTATTTTTAGCCCTGCGCGTAGAAGTTGTTTGTACAAATAAATTTTACAAACGACGAACTTTGGAAATTACAAGACATTGATTTTTCGCCCCCTCCAGAAAGTTGATGACGTCATGTCAAAAAGCAAATCGTTTAAAAAACACGTTTGAGCCATTTATTTTATCGATAATCGTAAGACTTTAGAACTTAATACAGTTTTTAATGTAAGATAATTTAATTTTATTGTATCACGATAGCTGATTAAAATTTAAGCTCTTATAAAACTATATAATTATTGGTGATTAGCGAATACTTAGAAAGTAGCATTAATAAAGTTTTATCAAGGTCACTTTTTCTGAACAAAAAAATCATAAAACAAAATATTTACTTAGCGCGATTTTTTAAAACACGTTACTTTGAACAATTTAAAATATTTACAATTATTTCAGCGTCAAATAAAACTAAAACCGCGTTCCATAAATAACATTTGCGTTGTAACTTTATACGTTTTCTAGTCATATTTTAAAAATAAAGTAAACACCATTTCAAAAATTCCCCAGAATTATAAAACAAAAATCTGATTCAGTTTTACTTTGTGTTTACACGTCGGCATGCCTGAATAAAATTCCATTAAACAAGGTCACACAATGGTTTCAGTTTTAATTATGAAACCAGCACTACCTGATTGAATAAAACAAACACGTTTTAACACCACAAGCAACTACTTACATGAAGGGCACTTATCCAATCCGGATTCTGTTTCGATGATAACATAAACAATATTTCCAAACTGAACGGATCCATCACTATTATTTCTGGATAATAGCCGTTACAAAATAACCTGACATCCTCACAATTACTCATGTGGTACGCCTAAAATACAATTGAGTTCGACGTCAAGGTTAACACAAACAGAAGTTGTTTGATGGAGAACAACAAATAAAACAAACATTGTTATCTATGTTTTAGTGAATTAATAATTACCTGCATATTTGTGTGCACTTGGGGTAGCTTCACGTGTTCTCTGCACCGTCCATCGACCAAGTCCCACGTGCACATTTCTCCAGCTTCTGAACTGGACACGATGTAGTTATTATCTTGCAAAATTGACGCTTTCGATATACATAGAATGGGAGCTGTGTGTCCTACAAGTAGACACCGGGGCGTCATTTGCAGGGTGTCTGGATGGACTTGCCTGAAACAACGCGTTAACCCATAAAGTAGTCGCTTGTGTCGACTTACCACAGGCAAATTTGTCCATCGTAACATCCCGTGGCCAAAGTCTTTTGGTCTTTCGATAGATATATGCAGGAAATGCAGTGCGTGGGAGGGTGTTTGCCCCACAGCACCACCGGCACCACCAAGCTATTGCCTGGCATTTTGATGAAACTAAAATAAATAAACAAATTGGATTTATTTGTGTTTTACTTAAGGATAAATGTGTCTCAATTAGAGTAAATTAGAGTCAATTAAATGTTTGTGGTCTAAGTGTGTCATGTGACCCTGCACATATTCGGTAGCGTTGGAGTGTCCGCGGGTAATTAAACCATTTCTGGAGGCTATAAATTTTCACATAACGAGACAGGACGGTCTTAAGTGGTACAATAACAGAAGGGTGATACGTCTCGTTGGGAATGACATTTCCAACAATTACTAACCAAACTTTTTTGACAACTCGTTTCGGTGGTTCGCAACGCACATAACTTTCAAATGGACAGTACCTGTTATCTGTAACTGGCCTAAAGGGGACGGATTTTTAACACAGAAGCGAATTTCTGTTATAAATTGACCTGTGATTCGCCATTTTCACACAAGCAATCAGCTGTTTGACATTTGTCACAAATTCGAGCAGAACGTCCTAGCCCAAACGCCCCAAACGCGACCGAATGAAGGTGACGTTTCGACGTGGCGCGTTCATTCAGAAAAAACCCTAGACAAGTCACTTCTGGGTATTTACCAACCAGCAGTACTGAAACAAGTTAACCACAGATAGTTAAAATCCACAATCACTGCTTACGCACCATAAAAAAACACACAATTCCACCACATTCAAGTCTTCCTAATTGAAACAAAAATCAAAATTGACCTGCATCACAAACACAACGTTACTCTTAATAGAATTTTCTTTGATACCGCTGATCGTCAAGGCTCCACAACTGCACAACGTATCACAAAAGTCCCCAACTTGCCACCGTATAAAAACACACTTCGACCTGTCAAAATTACACAATAGGGGCTGGATCCTGCTTTGACAACTTGTCACTCTTCAGAAAGGTTAGGTGTCCACATTTCCAAATCCTTTAATCAAAACACACGTTCTTTCCCCAACGATGAAGTGCCATTACGAAATTCTCAATGTTCCTCGAGACGCCGACCTGCCCGAAATCAAATCGGCGTACCGAAAATTCGCCCTTAAGTGGCACCCCGACAAGAACCTCAACAACACCGACTACGCCAAGGAGCAGTTTCAGCTGGTGCAGCAAGCCTACGAGGTGCTCAGTGACCCCCAGGAACGGGCTTGGTACGACAAACACCGCGAGCAAATCCTTCGAGGCGCCAATTCCGAGTTCGAAGACAACAGTCTCGACCTATTCCAGTTTTTCACGACGACTTGCTTCAAGGGTTATGGAGATGACGAGAAGGGCTTCTACGCGGTGTATCGCAACGTTTTCGACCAAATTATCAAAGAAGATATTGAGTTTATGGACGATAAGGAGGAGTTTTGTGACGTGCCGCGATTCGGGGGCTCGCAGAGTGACTACGACGAGGTAGTGGGGCCGTTCTACTCGTACTGGTCGAGTTATTGCACGAAAAAGAGTTACGTGTGGTTGGATCCGTACGACATTAAGGAGATTCGCGATAGAAAAATATTTAAAGCGGCGGAGAAAGAGAATAAGAAGGTTAGAATGAAAGCGAAAAAGGAGAGGAATGAGGAGGTGAGGAATCTTGTGGCTTTTGTGAGGAAGAGGGACAAGCGGGTGCAGGAGCGGACGAAGTTGATGGAGGCGAAGGTTTTGGAGAACAGGCAGAAGCAGGAGGTGTTGAGTAAACAGAGGAGGATGGAGAGGAAGAAACAGTTGAATGAGTCGGGGGCGCAGGCTGAGTGGACCAAGTTTGATAACGTAAAGTCGGAGTTGGAGGAGATTGAGAAACATTTGGTGGAGCAGTTTGGTGAGGAGGTGTCGGATTCTGAAGAAGAAGAGGAAGACTGCAGTGATCTCTACTGTGTGGCGTGTAATAAAGTATTTAAAACCCCGAGAGCGTTAGAAAATCACGAATCCAGTAAGAAACATAGAGAAAATGTGGAAAAATTGAAACTGATTATGATGGAAGAAGAAGAAGAAGAAGGATACGACGACGAGGAAGAAGAGGAAGTTGGGGAGGATGCAATAGTGGCAGAAGTAGATAATTCACCACTTGAGGAACTCAGTGAAGACGACTCAGAAAACTCAGTGGAACGAACAAAAAAGCAGAAAAAGAAAAATAAAAAAGCTAGGAATATTTTAACAGTTAATAATGAGGAAGACACGAATTGCGAGCTTGACGTACCGAAAGTTGTAGACTCTGATGATAATTTTGATTTTGAGTCGAGAAAAAAGCAGAAAAAGAAGAACAAAAAGCAGGGTAAAACTAAAAATGTGAGTGAAGAAAAAACTGAAGAAGAAGAAAATATTGCACAGGATATTAAAAACAGTAAAAAGAAGCAGTCAAAAAAAGAAAAGAAAAACGTAACTAGTGAAGAAATAGACTTAAGTCACTGTTGTGTAACGTGCAAGTCAAATTTTCCCTCAAAGAATAAGTTGTTTGACCATTTGAAGAAAACAGGGCATGGGGTTTACGTAAATAAAACTAAGAACGCCAAATAATTTATTTATTTAAATTTGTTAATTTAATTTTTCAATAAAACTCACGTATTTCGAAATTTTTTATTGAACACTATATATTTTGGAGTCCTAGGTATAACTGCAAGGCTAAATAATGCATATATCAACTTAAAAATAAAATTTTTGGTATAAAAAGTACAAAACTAATAAACATACTCTTAAAATAAGTACAAAATAGCAGTACAATGCAGAGAGCACCATAGACGAAATAAAATATCACTTGTATAAACAGTAACAAAACTTGTTCCCATGAGATTACAATAAGGCACTGGTTAGTACCGTTTTGGTATGCGATGACGAGTATTAAACTTATGCCACTTGCCTGAAACAAACGACGTGACGATTTTAATTTATTAAAATAATCTCAAATTCAATTTATTAATACAAATTTAATTGAACAAGAGTTCAAAAATTTTTTCTTTATATACATATTATTCTTTGATCCATTTTAAACATGTTTTTATTTCTTGTTGAGAAATAAGGATTTTGTAATTAAGGTCCGCCTCCTTGGCTCACGACAAATAAATAAAACTTCACTACTGAGATAGGGCGGGTGGGCGGGGTTTATATTTTGCATTTTTTTCTTAATATGTGTAGTCATCTTTTCACAAGAAACTTAAAACATGTTTAAAATTGTAAATTTGTATACGGAAATATCGATTTTGCAATTACGCTCCGCCCCTCGACTTACAACGGATAAAAAAATCATTAGAATTGAGCTAGGGTGGGTGGGCGGGGCTTATATTTTGCATTTTTTTTCTTAATAAACATAATCATCTTTCCACAACAAAAAATTTAAAACATAGTTAAAATGGTACACTTTTGCAACGAAATATGGATTTTGCAATTAACTGCAAAATCAATGTTTCCCTATACACATTTACTATTTTTAAAATGTTTCAAGTTTCTTGTGGTGAAAAGATGACTACACATATTAAGAAAAAAAAGGCAAAATGTAGACCCGCCCACCCACCCGATCTCAATTGCGATGAATGTTTTATTCATCGTGAGCTGAAGGGCGAAATTTAGTTTGCAAAATCCTCATTTCTCTACAAGAAATTGCCATATGAAATTTGTTTTAAAAGGGTGGAAATTTTTAGAGAAATATTTATGGAAAAACATATTTCATATGATAATTTTCTGTAGAGAAATGAAGATTTTGCAGTTAAACTCCGCCCTTCGGTCTGATTAGGAATGAAAAATTCATCACAATTGAGATCGGGTGGGTGGGTGGGGCTTAATTTTTGTTTATTTTTTTTAATATATAGAGGTTTCTTTCAACAACAGGAAAGTTAAACATGTTTTCAGTTTCTTGTTGGGAAAAGAAGACTTCTTATATTAAAAAAATGGACAAAATATATGCCCCGCCCACCCACCCCTGCGTCTATTGTGATGAATGTTTTATTCATCATGAGCTGAAGGGCGGAGTTTAGTTTGCAAAATCCTCATTTCTCTACAAGAAATTGCCATATGAAATATGTTTTTAAAAGGGTAGAATTTTTTAAAGAAATATTGAAGTAAAAACATATTTCATATGATAATTTCTTGTAGGAAAATGTGGATTTTGCAGTTAAACTCCGCCCTTCGATCTAATTACGAATGAAAAACTAATCACAATTGAAATCGGGCGGGTGGGTGGGCCTTAATTTTTGTTTTGTTTTTTTTTTTAATATATAGACTTTTCTGTCAATAACAAGAAAGTTAAACATGTTTTCAGTTTCTTGTTGGGAAAAGAAGACTTCATATATTAAGATAAAATGGACAAAATATATGCCCCGCCCACCCACCCCTGTCTCTATTGTGATGAATGTTTTATTCATCATGAGTTGAGGGGCGAAGTTTAGTTTGCAAAATCCTCATTTGTTTACAAGAAATTGCAATATGAAATATGTTTTTAAACGGGTAGAATTTTTTAGAGAAACATTGATGTAAAAACATATTTCATATGATAATTTCTTGTAGGAAAATGAGGATTTTGCAGTTCAACTCCGCCCTTCGGTCTGATTAGGAATGGAAAACTTATCACAATTGAGATCGGGGCGGGTGGGTGGGCCTTAATTTTTGTTTGTTTTTTTTTTAAAATATAGAGTTTTCTTTCAACAACAGGAAAGTTAAACATGTTTTCAATTTGTTGTTGGGAAAAGAAAACTTCTTATATTAAGAAAAAATGGACGAAATATATGCCCCGCCCACCCACCCCTGTGTCTATTGTGATGAATGTTTTATTCATCATGAGCTGAAGGGCGAAGTTTAGTTTGAAAAATCCTCATTTCTCTACCAAAAATTGCCATATAAAATATGTTTTGAAAGGATAGAATTTTTTTGAGAAATATTAATGTAAAAACATATTTCATGATAATTTCTTGTAGAGAAATGAGGATTTTGCAGTTAAACTCCCCCCTTCGGTCTGATTAGGAATGAAAAACTTATCACAATTGAGATAGGGGCGGGTGGGTGGGGCTTAATTTTTGTTTGTTTTTTTAATATATAGAGTTTTCTTTCAACAACAGGAACGTTAAACATGTTTTCAGTTCCTTGTTGGGAAAAAAAAGACTTCTTATATTAAGAAAAAATGAACAAAATATAAGCCCCGCCCACCCACCCCTGTCTCTATTGTAATGAATATTTTATTCATTATGAGCTGAAGGGCGAAGTTTAGTGTGCAAAATCCTCATTTCTCTACAAGAAATTGCCATATGAAATATGATTTTAAAAGGGTAGAATTTTTTAGAGAAATATTGATGTAAAGACATATTTCATATAATTTCTCGTAGAGAAATGAGGATTTTGCAGTTAAACTCCGCCCTTCTGTCTGATTAGGAATGAAAAACTCATCACAATTGAGATCGGGGCGGGTGGGCGGGGCTTAATTTTTGTTTCTTTTTTTAATATATAGTTTTCTTTCAACAACAGAAAAGTTAAACATGTTTTCAGTTTCTTGTTGGGAAAAAAACTTTTTATATTTAAAAAAATGGACAAAATATATGCCCCGCCCACCCACCCCTGTCTCTATTGTGATGAATGCTTTATTCATCGTGAGCTGAAGGGCGAAGTTTAGTTGCAAAATTCTCAGTTTTCTACAAGAAATTGCTATATGAAATATGTTTTTAAAAGGATACAATTTTTTAGAGAAATATTGATGTTAAATTAAACTCCGCCCTTCATAGGAATAAAAACTCATCACAATTGAGATCGGGACGGGTGGGTGGTGATTAATTTTTGTAATTTTTTTTTATATACGTAGTTTTCTTTTAACAATTTTTTGGCGCAAAAAACAAGAGATATAATAAAAAAAAAACATAAAGTCAATCTATTATCCAATAATTTTGGACTCTACTCCTAAACTTGTACTTTCTCGTTCTTTTTCGAAAAACTGAAAAATCTAAAAATTGAAAACTCATGAAAATTAAAAATTGAAAACTCGTGAAATTTTAAATCTAAAAACTGCAGAATCTACAAATTTAATGAGTTACAGATAGCAAAATTGAAGAAAGAAAACTTGAAAAAACTGAAACTGAAACGAAAAATTGCACATGGAAAAATGAAAAATTGAAAACTTGGGAAACTCACATCGAAAAATTGCCAAATCTAGAAATTGAATTGAAAAGTTGAACAATTTAAACTTGAAAACTAGAAAAAATGAAGGAAGCTCCGCCCCATTGGCTCACGCCGAATAAAAAAAATCACCACAATTGAGATAGGGCGGGCGGGCGGGGCTCCATTTCGTCTTCGATTGATCGTTTGTTGCCACATATCTCGAGATTGTGCAAAATACAAAATTGGCCACTTCCGGGCGTTCCACTAATTTATGACTTGCAGCCAGGCAGCCACAAAGAGCTGCCGCTGGTACGAGACAACTTACCGCTTTTTTCAGGCCAGACATATAAGAGTTTGCCCCTCATAAATTTGATCTTGCACTTTATCACTGCTGGTGGAATTTTCCGCAGGAAGAGACAGACATGCTGAGACGAACGCCAATAAAGTGCCCCCGACCGCTAAACCCAGCCCCATTCCGAGACTGCAGTCCCCGGGGTAAAAGGGCGACGCTTGTCTTCCACACAGGTCCTGGACCCTTCCAACCCCCCAACCCATCGGATGCAACATCACGCCCAAAATGAAACAAATACCTAAAATTGAAAAAAATACAATTGTTACACATCAAAAAAAAAAAAAAAAATTTGTGAAACCTGCAACCGCCTGTGCCGCCCCAGACAACGTGAATATGCTTTTCTTGAATATACTTTGAATGCAGCAACTTAGCACACTTGTCATGACGGTGATGGACATTATTATGAGTCCTAGAAGAATTCTTAGCTTGAATTATATTTAAAATTTAGATCATACCAATGACTATGAAGACTGTGGCGGCCTTCCACACTGCCGGATACACGTACGAATCCGTGGCTAGTCCCCCCACACCGATGACAGTGCATGAAGCCCATTCAACGTTAATCGGTTTACTACATTTCGTGTAAACCCCCACACTGGGAGTGTACACAACGGTTTCATTACCAAATTTCGCCGATTTCTCATCGGAGACGAGCCACACGGGGCTCACCAGCGCCGCTAACACCAACAGTGTAGCCAACAGACTCGACGCCATCCAGAGCACACTCCGACCCGTCACAATCAAATACCACATCTTGCTGTTATCTGGAGCTCATTTGGTCGACTGGCGGGGCTAAAACAACGCCAAATTAAACAATCCTAATCCCTCTTACTTTATTAACAAAATATTTAAATTTACCGCGTCATAATACCACTTTGAATGCTCGCTTGTTATCTCCTCGTGGTCAGGTACAAAGTAGAACGGTACGTTGCTGTTATTAATAAAGTAATTAATTAGTGTGTTTTCCTACCTGTTCAATTTTAATTGATGGGTGTGTTTGACAACCACACCCTCTGTCAAACGATCAGCTGATTTGCATTACCCATAAAAAATCGTAGGGGCGCTATTGGAAGAGCAGGGGGCAGGTCCGTACTGGGAAGGATGAGCCGCTTGCACAAGGTTTTTGTGTACGGGACGCTGAAAAGGGGGGAACCGAACCATGGCTGGTTTTCGAAGGATGCCGGGGGTTATTTCAAGTTTATGGGTGAGGCGAAGACTGTGGAGAAGTATCCGCTGATTATTGGGACCAAATATAACATTCCGTTTCTGTTGTATAGTCCAGGTAATTATAAACGAATAATAATAAAATTGGGGTCTATAAATTTTGACTTCATTTTTAAAATCTGTCACTTTTTAAATTTGCTCGAAGTTGGCGTTACAGAATGACCAACATAAAATGTGATACTAAAAGAGTTGTGATTAAAATAAATTACGACAAAATATAATCGTATTTTAGAATTTTTATATAGTTTACGATAGGTGAAGTAGAAAGTGTAATATTTGTGATTATTGCTTGAAAACACAGAGTTTAAGATAGCCCGATAAAAAGTTACCAAACAGATTTACTAGGGATTTTTGTTATTAAAATAAGGTCAGGTCAGATTATGTCAAATCAGGTCAGGTCAGGTTAAATCAGTTCAGTCTTTTTTTTGTAGGAGAAGGAACTAATGTTAAAGGTGAACTATACGAAGTCAACGACAAAGTCTTCGCTAATTTGGATATCCTGGAGGACCACCCGAACTACTACATACGAGAAGAACGCGAAGTACAGTGCTTAGAAGACAACAAAAAAGTCACAACTTGGATTTATTTCATCAAAAACTTTAAAAGCGAGCTTTTAAAACAAACCACCTTCGAGTCTTATAGCAGTGAAGGCCCCCACGGTCTTAAATACGTGTCAAGGTACTTGCGTGACGACTCGTCGAACCATAGACTAGATATTTTTCCTTCTGAAAAAAGTTGATTTCAGCGAAGACAGCACGCTCGAAGACCTCGACGCAAACTCCGCTAGCCAGGGAAAAAAATAAACTTGCCAAAATGTTTGTAAATTTATTTTGTAAAAAAAGATAACTTTTAAACCAAAAATTCTGAGACCTAAACAATAGTTTAATAAAATTTCCTAGGTTTTCTTTTAGCTACAATTTCATTAAAAAACAGAATTCAACATAAAATTTAAGGTAGTTGGGACAGACTTTGAGAATTGCCTGAAATGGGACATCCATCTTGTTTTCCACAGTCAATACGGCCATCACTTATTAGAAACACGTCTCTAACTAATACGAATCACTAGCTATCGCTAAGAGTATTGTAGCGATTTTCGAGAGACAGCTTAGGGCCCTGCCCCGAACTCGCTTTCGCCTGCTCTACTTGCCGGTGGGATCCCGCCCTGCTGTGCTGCACTACTTCAAAAGTTCCTTCACTACGATTTCTGGAAGAGAAACACAAATCACTAGAGCTTTGTTTACAAAACTTTACTTGTTAGTTACATGTTATTTACAATCGTTACATCACTATATACATTAGTTAGTAATTCGCTTACTTCCTATGGTCACTCGTTTTCGATAACGTGGGGAAAAATTCTTCATTGTGGATATCTGGAGCAGCTTTTGATCGTAGGCGACTAGGTTGAACCGGGGCTTGCTGTGACTGGTTCCGCATACTCGGCGGCACGTAGGCGCCCCCGATGGTCTTAACTGGCGGCGCTTCTGGTTTCTTCTCCACCTTAAACAAACACAATTACCACGATTAAACTACAGAGCGCGATACCGACCTTGACGGGTTCCTCTTGCACTTCGACGTCCACCCGCTTCCACGGCCCCACTTTCTTCTCGTTGTCTGGTCCTGCCTCGTCGCACCCTGTTTGCTGTTCGGTGCTGGCTTCCGTGGCGCCCGTGCTGCCCTCGGGGGGCGACGCTATTGTCAGATTACCGATTTTGAGCCCGCTGTAGTCTTTCTTTTCCTCTTCGAAGTCCTTCCATTCGTCCTGGTCCTGGAAAAAAGGTACAATATGGCCTCAAACGCTCCTAACCACACTCGCTTCCAACACCACTTTATCGCGCTCAATTCTTACATGCACCGGCGTGGAAGTCTCATCTCCCTCTGGCACGCGTTCTTTTTTCAGTTTCTCGGATTTCTTTGCGTTGTCTTCGAGTTTTTTTGCTACTTCATCAGTCGTTGAAAACTTCTTCGTGTTCTTGGACTTCTTGCGGTCTTTCTTCGCAAAAAAGTCGTCTAGATCGGCCATCGCAGGAGTTTTGGGCAATTTCACTTACAAAATCCTGGGTTTTGCCAGTTTTTTTTACTAAATTTTACTACACACACTTCGAGGGTACTTCGACGGAAATCCAAAAGGGGCTGCGACCTGCTTTACCGACGCAGGTGACAGATCCCGGCGGACATAATTCTCGTGAGTGCGAATTGGCTGCGGGAAAGTTCCATTAGACAAAAAAGTAGCACGGCGGGACAGGATGGGCTTCAATTTAATTCTAGCCCACGAAATTAATTCACACACACACTTATTGTGAAGACATTGACACCGTGATTATAAATTAAACTATTTAAAATGTTATCTTTACGTCACTTTATCACCTCAATCAGAGGAAACTGTTATCTAATCTGATTGTCTCAATATTCGTTCGTCAATAGAATTATCCTTCAAACATGAAATTTCTCCTTTTATTTCTTTGTGTGGTGAAAATTCTTCGTGCTCAAGAAGACGCCGTCCTCTGCTCTGGCCAAACATGCTCTGTGAGTGTTTGTTTCCGAATTCTGTTTGATGTTTTTGGTCAATTTTCAGACCTACATAACTGAAAACCCTTGTGCTGCGCTTCCCGAAAAATGCAAAATACAAAATTCGACATACAACGGGCTGTTCTTACCGTCTCCGGATCCTTGCGGCTGTTGTCAGTATTGTCTGGAAAACCTAAGTATGACACAAACCCAATAAATATTTAATCAGTTTCTAGAAGCTAGTTTTTAGATGAAAACGAATTCTGCGCAAGAGGCGAAGTCGGGGGCTTAATTCCAGAATCGATTTGTGGTCCAGGACTTACGTGTTTTCAGGACGTTCAAGGTGCAGACAGCAGATGCGTAAAAAGTGAGTACATATGTAAGAGAAAATTAAATCAAAAATAATAAAATTTTCCAGTGACGGATGCAGTGACTAAGGATGACACGTTATCAACTCTTTATCCATGTAGCAAAGCACAAGCCGACTACGACAAAAGAAGGGAGGAGGAAACTTCTGGTTTTTTGGAAACGCGTCCGGACTGTGACGACGATGGTCTATACCAACCATACAAATGCGTACTCGGGCAAACGTGTGTTCTTTTCATTATTATATTGCAACATACTGTACACGCAAAATTTTAGGTGTTTCTGCGTAGACAAACTAGGAAAGAGAATTTTTGGAGAGATTCCTTTTACTAGCACAGCAGATCTGAATCTAAAATGCGGTACGTAAATACAAATATAAATCCGTTAAACCCAAGACTGTTTTTTTTCAGAGTGTTCCCGAAAATACCACGAGGTTCTAAAATTCTTCGACAAGACCGCCCTACATCCGAACCAACACTTCCGGTGCGCCTCCAACGGCGACTACGACACGATTCAGTGCATAGGGGACGCTTGCATGTGCACAGATGCCCAGGACGGGGCCCCGACTTTTCCCAATGAAGCCCCCGTAAACATATCGTTGATTTCCAGCACAACTTTACCCAATTGTTGTAAGACTTTTCTAAACAAGTGTAGGCCGTCAATTCACGTGATGTTACAGTCAAGAAAAACCTCCACAAAACCAACAAATACTACCACGCTTGCGCCGAAAAATATTTGAGCATTTTGGAAGAGCTTGAGGGCTACAAAAGCGACGGTTACGACACTGTTTTCGAAATGGAGGAGTACCCAAAGTGCGACCTGGAGGGACAATATGCACCGGTGCAGAAGAACGAGACGACGTAAGTGTGATTGATTTTTTTGACTTTTTTTGAGCGACGTTTTCAGAGATCCTGTGTATTATTATTGCTCGTTTCCTAACGGGACGCAGATCGGTGAGTACCAAGGGAGCGACGAGACGGACATGGACTGCAGTACGTTGAAATAAAGACGGAAATAGTGGGCTTAAATTTGTTTAATGGTTGGTTTTAGATTGTGCAAGAACTTTGCTTCTGATGGAGGGCGCACTCGAAAAACCGCAGTGTTGCCAGAATGGCAATTTTAATCCCGTCCAGTGCAGAAGAGGGACGTGTTATTGCGTTGATGCTGATGGGAGTCAAGATGTCAACAAGCCGGAGAATACGGAAGGTGAAATAGAAGTTAGCATATATGAAAAGACAAATCTGTTTTGTTATAAGGAAGACGAGCAACAAAAATGTGCAGGAACTGCGTCGATTTAACACGCCAGGAAAAATTTTAATAAAACTCTAGCAATAATAAATTATTTTATGATATTAATAAAGCTGCATTTTTATTTCAAAACCTGATGTAATAGTGTGTTATGTACGTTTTTTTTTTTTTGGTTGATTGACGTCATTGCAATTATAAGGTGGATTATAAAGTCGTTACTAATGTTTGAAATACCGGTCTGAGAACTAATTGAATTGTGTTGAGAGTTTCTTCGACGGAACAATTCGAAATAGTTGTTACTTAATCGTAACACGCATGGTAAATATTGCGTAAATAAGTAATGTAGAATCAGGACAAAACGAACGTCAATTACCTAAAAAAATTAATGTAACAAGCATAATCCGTGAGAGTTACGTAAAATACGTACATAATTACCTACATCGAAAATTTAAAATGGTTAAATTTTTTCTATTGCGTATAAACCTACTGGAAGAAATGTCGAGTTTACTCTGTATCTGTTGTTTATTTAATATTTCTAGTTTCTATGGAATTAAGAGAAGTCAATAAAAAAATACTTCACACTTGATTCATGTCTGGATTTTCTTTAGTGAGAAGTTCATTCGTTGTATCGATCCAGATGATTTTCTAAGGAAAAATTATATTTGCTATCTATATGAAGAAATAATCCATTTCTTGTGCACCACTTTAACTTAATTATTTAACACGCATGTCCTAATCTGCACATAGTACTATTCGAAGAGATAATCAAACTCGGCCACCAATCCCCGAACGTAAGAACAAAATTCGCATATTCGCAAATTGCAAATATCGTTGCGCTTGTCAGACATTGAGAACAACATGCGCAGAACCGAACAATCTAAAAATCGAAGAATTGGAAAACCAAAAAATCTAAACCGAGAACTTAAAAAATCGAATAATCGAGAAATCAAAACATCAAGGAAAACAAAAAAATTGACGGAAAATCTAGAACTTAAAAATTGAAAAATTAAAATACCTATCGAAAAATTGAAAAACCGAGAAATCGAAACACCAAAAATTGAAGAACCGAAACATTGCAAAATTCCAGAACTGAAATACTGAAAAACTGAAAAATGGAAGGAAAATTGAAAAATCGAAAAAGTGAAAAAATTCAAAACTGAAATCTTGAAATTTCGAAAAATTTAGAAACGTCAAAAATTGAAAACTGAAAAATAAAAAAATATAAAAATCGTAAAACTGAAATATCGGAAAATTGAGGAATTGAAAAATGAAGAAATTCGAGAAACCGAAAATATGAAGAATCGTGAAATCGAAGAATCGATAAATTGAAAAATCCCAATAGTAATATGTCGAAAAATTGAGAAATCGAAATCGAGCAAAACTGAAGTATCGTAAAGTTAATAAATTGAAAAACTGAAAATTTTTGAAAAAAAAAATCGTATTAAAAACTAAAAATTCAAAAAATCGAGAAATTGAACAATCAAAAAATCAAAACATTGAAATCCCAGTAAGTTGATAAATATGAAAATTTAAGAATTGAACAACAAAAAAGTCTAAACCTGAAAACTCAGAAAATCGAATGATCGAGAACTCAAAACATCAAAGAAAACAAAAAATCTAAAATTTAAAGATTCGACAAATTGAAAAATCATAGAAATGAAAAATCGAAAAGTCGAGATAGTGAGAAATCTAAAAATCTAAAACTTTAAAAACTGAAAAATTAAAATATCGAAAAATTTAAAAACCGAGAAAACACAATATCAAAAATTTGAAAATTTGCAAAATCCCAGAACTGAAATACTGAAAAACTGAAAAATGGAAGGAAAATTGAAAAATCGAAAAAGTGAAAAAATTCAAAACTGAAATCTTGAAAAACATAAAAATGGAAAGAAAATTGAAGAATCGGAAAAGTGAAAAAATCCAAAACTGAAACATTGAAAAATTCAGAAATCGAAAAATTGAAAAATCACAATTGAAGAAAGAATTGAAAAATCAAGAAATAGAGAAATGGGAAAATCAAAAAATCAGTTAATCGAAAAATTGAAAAATCGAAAAATTTAGAAACGTCAAAAATTGAAAACTAAAAAATAAAAAAAATTTAAAGTCGTAAAACTGAAATATCGGAAAATTGAGAAATCGAAAAATGAAGAAATTCGAGAAACCGAAAATATGAAGAATCGAGAAATCGAAGAATCGATAAATTGAAAAATCCCAACAGTAATATGTCGAAAAATTGAGAAATCGAAATCGAGCAAAATTGAAGTATCGTAAAGTTAATAAATTGAAAAACTGAAAATTTTTGAAAAAAAAAATTGTATCAAAAACTAAAAATTCAAAAAATCGATAAATTGAAAAATCAAAAAATGAAAACATTGAATTCCCAGTAAGTTGATAAATAGGAAAATTTAAAAAACAAAAATTTTAAAAATCCAAGAATTGAACAACAAAAAAAACCCAAGCCTGAAAACTCAGAAAATCGAATGATCGAGAACTCAAAACATCAAAGAAAAAAAAAATCTAAAATTTAAAAATTCGACAAATTGAAAAATCATGGAACGGAAAAATCGAAAAGTCGAGATAGTGAGAAATCTAAAAATCTAAAACTTTAAAAACTGAAAAATTAAAATATCGAAAAATTTAAAAACCGAGAAAACACAATATCAAAAATTTGAAAAATTGAAGAAACGAAATATTGCAAAATTCCAAAGCTGAAATCTTGAAAAACCTAAAAATGGAAGAAAAATTAAAGAATCGAAACAGTGAAAAAATCCCAAACTGAAACATTGAAAAATTGAGAAATGGAGAAATGGGAAAATAAAAAAAATGGTCTAAAGAGTTTCGACAGTACTTCCCTCGCTATCGGAAACGTGACGACTGCATGCCTATTATGTTTTCTTTTTCACATTAGATTTCAAAGCATTGGGTTCTGTAGTTCCTGATTAACTCAATAAAATAAATTTACGCATTCATTAATTTTTGGGGTCATCCTGTATATGCAAATCCAAAAAACATTAATGGAATGATAAATCACAAGAAGAGACTCATCATATTGTATACAATTTAGATAGGATTTATTCAGCAAAATGTTGAGATGACGTCATCAATTTTTTAGAGGGGATAAGTAAATATATTGTGACTAAAACGGTGATGGTTTAATAACAGAAAAATATTGTTCGTCTATGAAACAAGCTCGTCTTAGACAAAGTATTCGTAAAACAATATGTCGTAAAAAAATGTACGTATGCTGGTCCCGACTGCGATTATGGTTTAAATATTTTTTAGAAAATCCTGTCATGGATGTAGAAACATTTGTGACAGCCAAAGAGGTTTTTTGAGAAAATTATCTTTGAATTTAGACCAAATTGAAATAGACACTAGGCAACAGGCACATTTGGGCAAAAGAAAGAGAAATTAGGGTTACGGCTTCAAATTTTGGACGTATTTACAAACTTAGACCGACTACAGCAATAGCTAAAACTGTGGAGTCTCTGTTGTACAGTGCATTTAGAGGTAATAGTCATACATACTATGGACAGCAAAGTGAGGAAAAAGCTGTCAAGTGTTTTGAAATAAATAAAAATATAAAAACTGAAACTGGATTGTTTATTTCAAAACAATTTCCTTACTTGGCTGCTAGTCCAGACAGGGTTCTAGAGGATAGGAGTGCATTAGTGGAAATTAAATGCCCTTCAAAATCGCAAGATTTGTCTCGCGAAGAAGCGGTTAGAAAAAAAAAATCAAATGTTATACATTGACAGACAGATAATTGAAACTAAAAAAAAATCATGATTACTACTTTCAAGTCCAGGGACAAATGCTTGTTACGGGTATTTCACAAGTTTATTTTGTTGTGTGGACACCCAGAGGAATTAATATAGAAAAAATTTATAAAGACGAAGAAATATGTAAAAAGATGGCAGATAAACTTGGCAGATTTTACTTTGGCGCATTATTGCCCGAAATAATTGATTCAAGAAGAAAGAGGAACCTGCCTTTGCGAGAGATTCTTTTTAAATAAATGAAATTTGTTTCTATTTTTTCATGTACTTTAATAATTTATTAGGAGTACATTTTTCATCACCAAGACTTGCATATTTTTATTATAAATATATTTTGAAAATGACCTCTCGGCAAATGAAAACATATACGAGCACTTTTTTCAAGTAAACAATGAAGGGAGAAGTTACTGGACGTAGGGCTTTTTTAAAGCACCTCCTTTCTGGGACAAGTAGTATATACCCTTAGCTACTTATACGTGTTAAACAAAAGCTGTATTTTATATATTTTTTATTATTATTATAAATATGTTTATTAGTTTTATTAATTAAGAAAGCAAAATATATATTAACAATAATATTACAATGAATTTTTAGTAATCATGTGTATTGAATTCAGGATCCTGAGTGGAGTAAAAATATTATAGTTCCCCAGTTTTAATTCAGTTTTATGATAGTACCTCTTTGCGTAAAAGTTAATTTCCTTAACAATAGATTACCACGGCCGGTCCTGGCGGCTTGTTATAAAACTGAGTTCCTTGCCATAAATTAGAAAAATCAGTCGAGAACTCTAACAATCAGCTTATGGTAAAACAGGCGATAAGGGTTTTACCTTTAAAGTCGCTTCCGTAAATTTTAGTGGTGCTCCTATCGGCAAAGTACTGAACCAACTGCTCAAATTCTGTCGAATTGATACCCATTTTTTTCAATAATTGTTAGTTTTTATTCAAACCTCTGCTAACCAATAGATCATTAATTTTCCTCTGATATTCCTGTTAAAATTATTCGACGTATTTTGCATTAATTTGTGATATATTTTGATTTTAATAAACACATTATTATTTAAACAAATTGTACCACTAACAAACATTTAAAGACTCTGCGCCCTGTAAAAAGTGATGTTTTATCCATGTGCGAATTTTCAAGCGATTCTATGATGGTTATGACTCAAAAAACTTGAAAAGAAAACATACAATGGTGCTTTTTTTACGATATTTCTCAGCCATATTTTTTAAATTGATTGAACTGGTCTCTGCGCTCTAGAATATAAAAAAAGCTGCAGTTTGATGTAGATACATCTATATTAATATCATTTTTTCATACAAAAAACCAAAAAAATGTTATACCTCGTCTAGCGATGTTCTCGTTTGCGGGTGGTACTCTTGGCCTTGCGTCAGCTTTTGGTCGTCGGGAAGGATTTTTTCGATAAATTACCGATCGCCTTTTTATGAAAATCTATCCAATGCTTTCTCGGTTTAAGGAGTCAACCCCTGCGTTCGTGACACGGATATTTTAAATGTATTTTGGGAAGTTTCTGAATCGGAACCACTTTTATCTGATTTCTTTGCAGTTGATCATTTTATTTTGGGTTTATTATTATATGATCCCGTTTTCTGATTATTCTGCCATAGTTTTGGGAAACCTCGCACTTCATGAGAATTTAATGTTCCCACCGTTGTTCATTTATGGTACTAATTTCTCAGCGTTTCGGTTTATTGAAAGACTATTAATTTTTTAGATTTTAAGGTTTTGATAATGGAACTCAATTGTTTGTTATGTAAGTTTAACCTCATGTTTTTTTAGATTTATATTTACTCATTTATTCTTTAATTACGCTTGCAATTTTATCTTTCAATATATGTATTAAAATGTTATATTTTCTTTAATCAGTAATCTACCGTCAAACATTTACACAGAGAATGATTCACGTTATTATGCGTTTGTTTAACTTCGTGCGTATTTAACCAAGTTCACGCCACTTGCCTTGACGAGAATGATTAGATTACTTTTATTTAGTCAATTCGATTTTTTTCTAAAAATTACGTTTGTCAAATCATCAAGACATAGGTGTTTTCACGACTGCAAATATTTGCACGCTCGCAAATCATACTGATAAAAAAAAATAAGGTTTACTTAAAATTACTCAAGTTAATCAGCATGTCTGTACGATTGTGCCTGTGTTATATTTTTATTGCTACATTTGTTTTTGTCTCATTTTGGGGTATTTTAGACTGCGCCGGTTCCATCGAGTACAGCAGAAGAAGAAAATCTAAAAACCCAGTCGTGCTGGAAGCTCCAATACTTGAAAACATTTCTAACAACTCCATAACCATACGTGTCGAGAACTTTACGTATGCTTTCAGCCAGCCACGAGAATGCATAATCCAGTACAAAGAAGTAAAAATTGACATTAAAAGTGTTGGTTCTTGTAATTTTTAATACTTTTTAGGAAAACGACGCGCATTTTAAAAATTCTAGCACATACTGTAGCTCCAAAGACCTAGTTGACAAAACTTTTACGATCCCTAGTGTTGATACAATAAAATTCCGGTATAAAATACGACTACTATTAATTAACTCAGATCGCTACTACTCAGATCAAGAAATACCTGAGCTGGTCACACCCAAAAGTAAGGTGTCCACTTGAAACTTTTTCCATTTTGAATGTGAAAACTTTCAGAATTACACTTCTCTCAAGTAACAAATAACAGCTTAAGATTAACACGGTTTCCACCGAAAAACGAAATCTCCAAATATCATTTTAATTTTACGGTATGTTTTTACACAGTTGCCCTGAATTTACATAAAAAAAATGGTCACATTTCAGTGTACACAATCGTTCTGCCAGTATACTGCAACAAGTGTGCTTTCCGGTTATGTCATAAAACACTTAAAACCTTCGACAACCTGCACAATATTTGCATACATTTTACAAAATGGGACAGGATGGCACCTTTATGACAAAATCAGTAATACCACACTTGCCACAACCGTTGACGACAATGAAATGCCTGATAATATTACCTACAACCAGAATAAAATGGTGATTTCGTTCAAGGGCTGTTCAAAATTTAGTGGACCCATAAATTACACTTTTATGTACACTGATGGTAACAGTTTTACGCACCACATGGAAGTTCACAAAAAAATTATTGAAGAGAATATAGAGTTACAAGCGTCTAGAAATTACAGTGTAATAGTAACAGCGACAAGAATGAATTATCAGCGGTCGAAAACATACCAACTTCAAACTGCTCCAGACAGTATACAACTCAGATAAAGTTAAAATCTACAAAAGTATAACATAATTTTGTAGCACCCAAGGAAGTTCGAAACCTGACAATTGACTGTCGGAATAGTAGTACCGTCTGGTTACGATGGTTACCACCGGACCCACCAACCGGTCAAGTGTCAAAATACATTATCTCTCAAGGGAACTCAACAATACCACCAGATAATGACAACCGTGACACTTTCATTTCTACAAACATACAACTAGAACCTAACATAACTAAAATTGAGGTTCGAGCAAAAAATCGAAAAGTCAAAAAACTGGGAGCCCCCAAGTCTGTTGAACTTTCCTCTGTGCCCCTGGGTTAGCTACACAACTATTTGTTCTTATAAATATTTATTATGTTTTAGTAAAAGACATTCTGCAAAATTTCACTGTAGTACCATCTCCACCAGAAATATCTTTCCGGTGGCATCACCTAAACAACCTCTCCATTCGGGTCCAAAACGAAAGCTCACAAAATTCCAACGGCGAATTTAACGTGAGTCAATTCAATCAGTTTTTGTAAAATGTTCAACGATTTTTCAGATTTCAGTTGGCAGAGAAGGCAAAGTTGAATTAGTCGTGTCGAGTGTAAACTGTCAAAGCGAACAAGTAACTATTGAAGTGGAAACGAAGCCTCCAGAGTTTAATTTGTCGGGGAACCCTATTATAAAAGTATGGTCAGAAACAAACTATGAGTTACACGTACCGACACCAGATGGTGCTACAACCGAAAGCTCGAATTTTACTATTTTAATTAACCCTGACGATGCGAACTCCAACTGGAATGTAACAAACCTACAACAAGAACAAAATGGTTACGTTAAAGCACAAATCCCTCGTAATGTAGCAGTTTTTATGAAGACCCAATCTTACGAAATGTTACTTGAAGATGTCAAAAGTGGTAAACGTTATCGTTTGCTTCCGAGAGGTTCGTACACCGAAAAAGACTGGAGCTTCTTTCAAAAAGTCACTGGTTTATGTTTAATAATAATGACTGCTGTCACTTTAATTTGCCTGGGATATCTTCTTCTAGCGTCTGTTGTTACACTATAGCTGACACTCGAGTCTATGGGTGTGTTTTTAGGTACATCTTTAAAAAATACCCGTTCAACTCAAATAGGGAGGTATGTCAGCGACGAGAAAGTTATCAGACGGCGACTGTAACGGACTTTCCTAACAATTATAAAAGGGACAGCTTGAAACGACTTCAGAAGAAACTAGATCCAGAGTTCTTATGATCTTCTCCATGTTTTGAATATTGTCACAAGAGCTGTATCAAATGACAACCTGATATTACAGTAAATAATAGTAATAATAATTATTATTATAATTTATTTTCGTATTTTTGCACCTAAATTGTTTATACACGTCATTAAAATATATACATAAAGTGTTATCTTAATTACAACTTTACACAGAATTTTTATAATAAAGATTTTAGACAGACATCACAATTTTACATGTTAAACATTTTTCGTAATTGTAGAAAGCCTTTATTTACTTATATTTTCTTTTAAGTGAAGTAGGCAACTCAATATACAGACACAAGGACATGTTAAGGGGACTCGCTAGAAGAGGTATAACTTTTTTTTGGTTTTTTGTATGAAAAAATAATATTAATATAGATGTAACATACATCAAACTGCAGCTTTTTTCATAATCTAGAGCGCAGAGACCAGTTCAATCAACTAAAAAAATATGGCTGAGAAATATCGTAAAAAAGCACCATTGTATGTTTTCTTTTCGAGTTTTTTGAGTCATAACCATCATAAAATCGCTTGAAAATTCGCACATGGATAAAACATCACTTTTTACAGGGCGCAGAGTCATTAAATGTTTGTTAGTGGTACAATTTGTTTAAATAATAATGTGTTTATTAAAATCAAAATATACCACAAATTAATGCAAAATACGTCGAAAAATCGACAGAAAAATCAGAGGAAAATTAATGATCTATTGGTTACCAGAGTTTTTAACAAAAACTAACAATTATTGAAAAAAATGGGTATCAATTCGACAGAATTTGAGCAGTTAGTTCAGTACTTTGCCGATAGGAGCACCACTAAAATTTACGGAAGCGACTTTCCAGGTGAAACCCTTATCGCTGCTCTACCATAAGCTGATTGTTAGAGTTCTCGACTGATTTTTCTAATTTATGGCAAGGAACTCAGTTTTATAACAAGTCGCCAGGACCGGCCGCAGTAATCTATTGTTAAGGAAATTAACTTTTACGCAAAGAGGTACTATCATAAAACCGAATTAAAACTGGGGAACTATAATATTTTTACTCCACTCAGGATCCTGAATTCAATACACATGATTACTAAAAATTCATTGTAATATTATTGTTAATATATATTTTGCTTTGTTAATTAATAAAACTAATAAACATATTTATAATAATAATAAAAAATATATAAAATACAGCTTTTGTTTAACACGTATAAGTAGCTAAGTGTATCTACTACTTCTCCCAGAAAGGAGGTGTTTTAAAAAAGCCCTACGCCCAGTAACTTCTCCCTTCACTGTTTACTCGAAAAAAGTGCTCGTATATGTTTTCATTTGCCGAGAGATCATTTTCAGAATATATTTATAATAAAAATATGCAAGTCTTGGTGATGAAAAATGTGCTCCTAGTAAATTATTAAAGTACATAAAAAAATAGAAACAAATTTTATTTATTTTAAAAAAATCTCTGGCAAAGGCAGGTTCCCCTTTCTTCTTAAATCAATTATTTCGGGCAATAATGCGCCAAAGTAAAATCTGCCAAGTTTATCTGCCATCTTTTTACATATTTCTTCGTCTTTATAATTTTTTTCTATAATTATTCTTTTGGGTGTCCACACAACAAAATAAACTTGTGAAATACCCGTAACAAGCATTTGTCCCTGGACTTGAAAGTAGTAATCATGATTTTTTTTTAGTTTCAATTCTCTGTTTGTCAATGTACAAAATTTGATTATTTTTTTTCTAACCGCTTCTTCGGGAGACAAATCTTGCGATTTTGAAGGGCATTTAATTTCGACTAATGCACTCCTATCCTCTAGAACCCTGTCTGGACTAGCAGTCAAGTAAGGAAATTGTTTTGAAATAAACAAGACACACCGTTCAGTTTTTATATTTTTATTTATTTCAAAACACTTGACAGCTTTTTCCTCACTTTGCTGTCCATAGTATGTATGACTATTACCTCTAAATGTACTGTACAACAGAGACTCCACAGTTTCAGCTATTGCTGTAGTCGGTCTAAGTTTGTAAATACGTCCAAAATTTGAAGCCGTAACCCTAATTCCTCTTTCTTTTACCCAAATGTGCCTGTTGCCTAATGTCTATTTCAATTTGGTCTAAATTCAAAGATAATTTTCTCAAAAAAACCTCTTTGGCTGTCACAAATGTTTCTACATCCATGACAGGATTTTCTAAAAAATATTTAAGGCTCGCGTCTGGAGGCCAAATATCTGCCTGGTCAAAGTGAGAATAAAACGACCCGGGAGATGCTGCCTCCTGTTAGTGAATTGCTAAAATGTGAATAAATGCAGCACCGATCCGTAGAATTCTACATTTTACTGTACGGAAATAAGTTTTAGTACACAAGCCGCAGTGCCTGTCTAGCCATAATAATTGCAAACAAAACCCGGGTACCTGAATTTACCCTTGACCGTTCAAAACCGGAAAGATGTAAAACTCACTGATTCATTTTCCTATTTTGGCTACAGTTAATTCTTTCCAGTTATTTATTTTGTTTCCGTACTTAAATTGTTTTCGGTAAATATATTAAATATATGTAAATATTAAAGTACCTCCTACTGTCGGGGAATCATCTGTAGATATGTGATTTATTCCTATCAAGGATGTGTTGTTTGTCTGAATTACAGGAACATCATGTAAAGCAAAAATTGGTCGCGCCAAGGTACTATTTACGAACGGGAGGGATTTGCCACATTTGTAGGCTAAACTTGAAATAAGAGAATTAACAATATTTCCGGTATAAGTAAATATTTTTATTATTTTCCTACTATCTGCACTCTCGGAGATGCCCATTCATTACAAATAGAATATTTTTGGCGGAAAATTTTTCTTAAACTTAATAATGTATAAGAGTTTGGTTTTGTTATTTACTTTATCGTTTGCAACAAAACAATAGTAATAAAAATAAAAATATATTTACCAAGTAAATAACAATAAATTGTTAAAATTATTAGCCGCAATCGTTTGAAAATGAATAATAGCGTGTCCTTGAAGCTATTAGCCACATAGCAAAATTTTTTACTTTCTTCAACGCAAATCATTAGTACGTTGTATGCAAGTAATTCTAAGCATTCAACGGTGGTTTTTTATGTAAGTACTAAAATATTCATGTTAATTATTTTGGCGGCTAACTGCATGGCAGAAGGCAGTTTATTTAAAAATTTGACTTTGCTTAAACTGTTTGTTAGTATATCGTTTTGTAAGGATTTAAATAATTAATTTTAAATTTTTAATAGAAGCAGCTGCTATTTTGTATGCATATTAACTTTGACTTGCACTTTTAATTTTACGTATATCATATGCTTGCGCATCGTAAACCTCATTTTTTTGTATAAGGTGTAAATATTTTTTGTTCACTACATATTTGCCATACTGTTTCGGAAAGATTTAATTTTAAATTTTATTTTAGGCTTGAACAACAGCTTGAACGTAATTTTAAATTCGGAAAAAAATTGTTACTCAAATGGAGTCGAAAGCGTGTACAAGGGATAATTTCAGTCCGCAATACCAGTCCCACTTCCGGTGACAAACAAAAGTTGTTAAATTTATTGTAGGTGGTTGTTTACATCTGGCTGGTAGAAATGGTAGAGTCCTATTGTTTGAAATGCACGTAAAGTAACTTTTTTCGGCAAAACTCAGTTTTGGAACAGTTGCCAATGTTACTACCACTTTGTCAGTGTCTACCTAAAACATATATAAATTATACTGAGTATTACAGTCTGGATAGAAAGTCGCTAACCCGATTTGTTCTGTTACTGTCCTACAGAAGATAATATGCTTTTCTACCTGCCATCAATTCATCTCTTTTTAATCATACCTATATCGGCGTAGGTTGATTATGATTACAAAACTTTGACATCGTTTTACTTCTTTCATCTTCACCAACAACTCAATGACGTTTCAGAGTATATATAATAAAACACGTTTCAATTTTATTTTTTCATAGAGGATAAAAAATAATTAATATAAAACAGATTTATATGTGCCTCAGCTGCGGAGGATTGTAAATACCTTTTGATCTCTTAAATAAAACATACTTAATAACTAACTTTTAACGTATCCATCTTTTTTACTAAAACAGTAAAAAAGATGGATACGTTATTTTGTCACTTCTAAAAACCGAAATGGTATTGTAAAATCGGAAATGCGATATCAAAATTTTATTCCGATAAATCGCTGAGTAAAAACAGCTCCCCCTGGTGGACAAGGTCCACATTAAATTATAATAATAATAATAATAATAATATTTATTAGAAACAATACAGGATTGTATTCTAAAAGGATGATGCATCGCACTTTGTGCGTTTTTCAGCATCCCCTCTAAAGCCTAAATAAACTTAAAACAAATATGTTATTTTATTTTAACTTAAATATTTCGATAGAAAATATGCAACAATTTGAGTTTTTAAAGAAATAAAACTATTACTACTTACAATTTTGTCACCGTATTCATTTAAAATTTTTGTACAAATATATGAAAATGAAGCTTTAAATTTTTCTGTAGCGTGTTTAGGAATATCATAGGGCTCTTTATTTCTAAGATTGCGCTGGTGTATATCTTCTCTCCTTCTTAGACATTTTATTAAATACACTGGTTCTCCCTTTTTGATTATGCTATATACGGCCCTTATGTATATCAAATTAAATCTTTCTTCAATTTTTAAAATGGCTAGTTTGAAATAGTTAGGTGTGATATGTTCTCTGAATGGTAATAAATAGCTAAATCGAAGACATGTGTTTTGCATTAGCTGTAATTTATATTTGAATTCCTTTGTAAGGTGTTGATAATAAACGGATGAGCAATAATCAAAATTAGAGATCAGTAAAGTATTACACAATTTCCACTTGACATTGCTATCTAAATAATTCTTGAATTGATACAAATACCCAAATTTTGGATAACATTTGCTTAGTACATAATTCACGTGGTGATGAAATTTTAATTGACTATCTATGTGGACTCCTAAAATTTTTATACTGTCTCTAAACTGTAAATTATCATCTTCTATTTTGATTAATCTCTTTAAATCAGGTAGTACACGACTAATATTATGTACTGAACCAATGCATAGTGCTTCACATTTCTTCCTATTCAGATGTAACCCATTACGTCCGTTCCAACTAATGATGTCATTGATTTGTTTGTTAATGGAAACCGCCGCTTGAAATGTTTCTTGTACGTTGAAAGATGTATACAGCTGCGTGTCATCTGCATACAAATGAAACACAAATTTCGGTAGAATGCAGCAAAGCATATCGGCTGTGAAAATAGTAAAGAGCACAGGACCCAGTACACTACCCTGCGGGACTCCCTCAGTAATGTTGGTTATTCCAGATGTTTTCTTTCCAATTTTAACGATTTGCTTTCTACATTTAAGATAACTTCGAAACCAATTAACAACTAAATTACTACATCCGTAATAGTTCAATTTAGCTAACAAAAGATCATGATTTATTGTGTCAAATGCTTTACTGTAGTCTAAAGACTGTCATACACCCTACATAACTGAAACTATAAAGCAAATGATTAAAATAAAAAATAGAGCTTACGAAAAATACAAAGTTACTCGGCATGAAAATCATCGTATATACTATAAAGAACTGTGTAAACTTGTTACCGAAGCCATTAAAAAAGAAAAAATTGCCTATATGAGACATCGAATTCATGTTTGTAACAGAAGTCCGAAACAATTATGGCAAACTCTTGAGAAGCTAAATATTCACAAAAAACCAATTAAAATCATTTCAGAGAATATCACACCCGATCAATTTAACCAGTACCTAATTGAGCAAAACAATAACCATTCTGTTAGCCAAGACACAATGTCCTTTTTTGAGAATAACATACGTCCAGGCATAACAAATGAACTCCAGTTTGAACCAATTACAGAAGTTGAGATTAAGGATACCATCAATAGAATTCATTCAAATGCAGCTGGTGTAGATCAAATGACCCTAAAAATGGTAAAAATTGTTTTTCCTTACTGTCAATCAGCCTTAACACACATAATGAATCATTCCTTTAAAACTGGCATATTTCCAAATCAGTGGAAAATAGCTACAATTATTCCATTGCCTAAGAAACCAAAAGCATCTGTGGTATCAGATTTGAGACCTATTATTATTTTATTATATTTTATTAAGTCTGCAACCAAACCAGAATCTAAGTAAACCTGTATTCTGCTACGGCATCATAGCTCGTTTAATGCCGATTTCTCGTTTCAACAGATTCTGTCTTTTCGAGAGTTATTTACCTCAGTTGTGAATTTTTTAGGATTATAAATGGTATCAAAAGAAAGCTCACACTTTTCCCCAGGGGACCTCCTATCTCAGAATGCAAATCACTTCAGCACTTCTTCAAAAAATGCATCAATGTACCGGTTAAATCTGGTGTAAAAATTGGTCAACTTTATAATTTTTTTTTGTAAAAACTGCGGACTAGATATGAATATAAATATGGAGGTCCCCTGGACTCAAGTTTGTTAATTCGAAATATAATTTTTTTAAAGCGATATATCCCGTATTTTTAAAATGCAACTCCGGAAACCACGACGATGTTTTCAATGTATTTAATATAGGGCGAAACCGATCCAGACGCGAGCCTTAAACCATATAATCGTAGTCGGGACCAGCATACGACATATTTTTTTTACGAATACTTTGTCTAAGACGAGCTTGTTTCATAGACGAACAATATTTTTCTGTTATTAAACCAGGACCGTTTTAGTCACAATATATTTACTTATCCCCTCTAAAAAATTGATCACGTCATCTCAAAATTTTGCTGAATAAATCCTATCTAAAATGTACAAAATATGATGAGTCTCTTCTTGTAATTTATCATCCCATTCATATTTTTTGGATTCGGATATATAGGGTGACCTTAAAATTAATTTATTTTATTGATTTAATCAGGAATTACAAAACCGAATGCTTTGAAATCTAATGTGAAAAAAAAAACATAATAGGTATGCAGTCGTCACGTTTCCGATAGCGAGGGAAGTGCTGTCTAAACTCTTTAGACCAATTTTTTTGATTTTCCCATTTCTCCATTTCTCAATTTTTCAATGTTTCAGTTTGGGATTTTTTCACTGTTTCGATTCTTTAATTTTTAGGTTTTTCAATATGGAAATATGGATTTTGCAATTATCGGGCGGAGCCTAATCGCAAAATCGATATTTCCTTATACAAATTTTTCATTTTAAATATGTTTTAAGTTTCTTGTTATGAAAAAATGGCTATGTATGTTAAGAATAAAAAGGCAAAATATAAACCCCGCCCACCCGCCCTATCTCGATTGTGATGATTCTTTTTAATTGTCGAGATATTTTTTTCAAAACTTTTATGCCAAATTCTTATTACTTTTCTACAAGAAGCTACCATGTAAGAGATATGTTTGAGTCTCGTGTTATTAAAAGAGTACCTTGTATATAAAGAAAAAATGAAAACCAAAAATTAAGCTCATCAATGATCTAAATAGTAATGAAATTTTCATTTGTTGGCAGGCATAGAGGCGAAGCCTAATTGCCAAATCCATATTTCTTTACAAAGATTTACCATTTTGAATGTGCTTTAATTTTCTAATAATTAAAAAAATCATTACAATTGAGATGGGGTGGGTGGGCGGGGTTTATATTTTCCGGTTTTTTTTTTAATATACATAGTATTCCTTTAACACGATACTCAAAAACATGTTTTTAGTTTCTTGTGAAAGGTTTACTTTGCAGTTAATCTTGGTTAACGACGAATAAAAAAAATCATCTCTATTGAGGCAGGGCGAGTGGGCGGGCTCAGATTTCGTCTTTTTTAAAACATGTTTAAAATGGAAAATTTGTACAAGAAAATATCAATTTTGCAATTAGGCCCCGCCCCATAATTGCAAAATCCATGTTTCCTTGCCAAAACCATTTTAACCAGGTTTTAAATTTCTTGTTATGAAAAGATGGCTATATATATTAAGAAAAGAAGGTAAAATATAAGCCCCGCCCACCCACCCTATCTCAATTGTGATGATTTTTTTATTCGTTGTATTTCTCTACCAGATATTAAAAAGATATTTTTGAGTATCGTGTTTTTCAAAAAATACTGTGTATTTTAAGAAAAAAATACAGCCAAAGATTAGGCTCCACCCATACCCGCCTCGTTCTCAATTTTCGATTGTGATGAATTTTTTATTTGTCGTCAAATCGAGGGGCGGGGCTTAAATTTACCATTTTAAACATGTTTTAAGTTTCTTGTTATGAATAAATGGCTATGTAAATTAAGAAAGAGAAGGCAAAATATAAGCCCCGCCCACCCACCCTGTCGCAATTGTGATGATTTTTCTTAATTGTCGAGATTTTTTTTTTATTTAAATGCAAAATTCTTATTATTTCTCTACAGGAAACTACTATGTAAGACATTTGTTTGAGTATCGGGTATATTCAAAGAATACTATGTACAACTGTACATATATTAAGGGGCGGAGCCTAATTGGAAAATCCATATTTCCGTGCAAAAATGTACCATTTTAAACATGCTTTAAGTTTCTAAGGATTAAAACAATCATCACCTTCTGAGATAAAACTGATTTTGAGTAATGAGATAACCTGTAAGAAATATTACAAAATTCCAAAGCTGAAATTTCAGCTTTGGAACTTTGCAATATTTCGTTTCTTCAATTTTTCAAAATTTTGATATTGTGTTTTCTCGGTTTTTAATTTTTTCGATATTTTTTTTTTGTTTTCTTTGATGTTTTGAGTTCTCGATCATTCGATTTTCTGAGTTTTCAGGTTTAGATTTTTTTTGTTGTTCAATTCTTAAATTTTCCTATTTATCAACTTACTGGGATTTCAATGTTTTGATTTTTTGATTGTTCAATTTCTCGATTTTTTGAATTTTTAGTTTTTAATACGATTTTTTTTTCAAAAATTTTCAGTTTTTCAATTTATTAACTTTGCGATACTTCAATTTTGCTCGATTTCGATTTCTCAATTTTTCGACATATTACTGTTGGGATTTTTCAATTTATCGATTCTTCGATTTCACGATTCTTCATATTTTCGGTTTCTCGAATTTCTTCATTTTTCAATTCCTCAATTTTCCGATATTTCAGTTTTACGATTTTTAAATTTTTTTATTTTTCAGTTTTCAATTTTTGACGTTTCTAAATTTTTCGATTTTTCTATTTTTCGATTTCTGAATTTTTCTGTTTCAGTTTTGGATTTTTTCACTTTTTCGATTCTGCAATTTTCTTTCCACTTTTAGGTTTTTCAAGATTTCAGTTTTGAATTTTTTCACTTTTTCGAATTTTCAATTTTCCTTCCATTTTTCAGTTTTTCAGTATTTCAGTTCTGGGATTTTGCAATGTTTCGGTTCTTCAATTTTTTCATTTTTTGATGTTTCCATTTCTCGGTTTTTCAATTTTTCGATAGGTATTTTAATTTTTCAATTTTTAAGTTCTAGATTTTCCGTTAATTTTTTTGTTTTCCTTGATGTTTTGATTTCTCGATTATTCGATTTTTCAAGTTCCCGGTTTAGATTTTTTGGTTTTCCAATTCTTCTATTTTTAAATTGTTTAATTTTTAGATTGTTTAATTTCTCGATTTATAGATTTTTCAATTTTTCGGTTTACCGATTTTTGTCATTGAAAATGTTTCAATTTTTCAATTTTGGTGTAATTTGAAAACGGTATCAATATTATTTATCAAAATTGTTCACAAAGTTTCAAAGTTAACCAGACTGCTGCAGTACCACAACAATTCCGTTTACACTTTTTTTTTGTCAAACACTAGTAAATTTTGTCACCCAATCCCCACAAACACCGCTTTTGCACACTATTACATTTCCTTAATGAACAGTGCAAACTGAAAGCGACCAAAACTAGGCACCAACAACCTATGTCAAAATCGTTTACAAAATCAAATCGTCAAAATTTCCTCATTTCAAGCAATCTTCCTATTATCGCAGCACCGTTAATGACTTTCTATTTACCCCTCATTCCATCAAGTGGCATCTTAATGACACAACTCCATCATTTTTGACACTATTACAAAATGGCTTTTGGCAAATCCTCCGACGTCAAGCGAATCAAGAACGCGGTCCTCGAGGACCGCATGCTTCGAACCCACGAGCGCGCGACCCAGCGAACCAACAAACTCTGGAAGAGGAAATGGGGCTGGGTTCTGGACGAATACGAGTACGACTGTGGCGACTTCTTCGTCAGACTGATGTGTGTTTTCAGGGAGCTGCACCGGAAGCTGGAGGAAATCTCGAAGACCTCGGAGTTCTTGAACGAAGTTAATAAGGACACGGGAGAGAAGGACCGCAGGAGCATCGCTCCTGTTCCGCAGACCACCAACCACCAGTACGGGTGGATACCCAGCAAGCCGGAGTTCGGGTTGGAGAAGTACGGGCCGGATGTGGACAAGCCGCCGCCGCTGCCCCCGAACTACGGGATATTCAAAGGGGTGTGAAAATCGGAGACGGGGTTGCGTAATCTTGCTTGTAATTAACTGGGTTAAATGTCTGTTTGTTGTTTACAGTGTTTGAATTGTCCTTTCACTCGATGAGCATGCTCGTGCCGCAATTACGGTGATTCATGTCATTTTTGCGTTGACTAATAATAATAAGACTGAAAACGCTGGCGTTTACCTAAATTAGGCTAATTATTATTGTTCGATGCAATATCATTGTTTTGCTGATTTTGCGTTTCGACATTTTTTATGAAAGACATTTGTGGTGGTGACACTAATAACGGTAATAACCAACCAAAGCGATGTTGAAATATTAGCATGAACAAGTTCAACAACACTGTTCAAGGTTGGTTTTACTATAGGGAAATACCGTGTTAAATCGCAAGGACGACGCTGTGACTAACAAATGGCAATGTTGTGCTTAATCGACGATCTTTGACTTGTTCTAATTGTTATCGAGGTCAGGAATGCGCGTGATTAATTTTTTTTCTCAGAAAGGTTGACAATTTTTGTAATAGATCGACAAGTAAAACTGTTTGTTTTAGTAGTTACGCATTGCATTGTTGGAAAGTTGATGAAATTAATTGTCACTCCTTACTGCTTCCAGTAAGACTATTTCAAAAATGCCCGATGATGATATAAACAACCACTTTTTGCTTCTGATTTTCTTCGTACACCAGGAACAACCACAAGGAAGTGTTTTCTATTTTTCTTATCAACGTTAAAATAAAATATTGTTTATTGTCGGCTCGACAAGAGATAAATTCTTTACGACCACATAATTCGAAGGATATTATTTCTATAGGGATTCGTGAAAAATGAGTTTTGTTACGGTAAAATGCCGCTTCATTGTAATAACGTTAGTAAAACTGATTCGTTCATTTGATATTTTTATTTTGCAAACATAAACTGAGACGGGTTTTATTTTTATTCGAGACGCAGCCGAGGTATAAAAAACACATAAAAAGTGTTTCTGTAATTTACGGTATGTCCCCGGATTGAGACTGCAAGATGGAAAAAATCGGTAAAAGAGTTAACAATTTTCATGCGTTACAATGTTTGCAAAAAAATCAACGTCAACATGGACGTTTTGACCAAAAAGTTGTGTCCTTAAAATGTCACATTATTGTTAACTTAAAATTGCTTGTTTATTTTGTTTTAATATGTAATCGTGGATTATTCGAATCGAAAATATAATTGTCGTCTTTAATGTGTGTATATTGTCTTGCATAATTTTGCCTACGCCCTTCAAAAATGAACTACTTATAATAATAAATCTCTGACTATAACTCATTATTTTTTAAACAACTTATGTAAAAAAAGATGAAATCCTTTTTCTCCTTTTCGTCCTTTTCGTCCTTTTCGTCCTTCTTCGTCCTTCGTCGTCCTTTTCGTCCTTTTTCGTCCTTTTCGTCCTTTCTCGTCCTTTTTCCTCCTTTTGGTCCCTTTCGTCCTTTTTCGTCCTTATTATTCTTTTTCGTCATTTTCGTCCTTTCCGTCCTTTTTCGTTCTTTTCGTCCTTTCTCGCCCTTTTTCGTCCTTTTCGTCTCTTTCGTCCTTTTTCGTCCTTATTATTCTTTTTCGTCATTTTCATCCTTTCCGTCGTTTTTCGTCCTTTTTCGTCCTTTTCGTCCTTTTTCGTCCTCATTATCCTTTTTCGTCCTTATTACTCTTATTTTCCTTTTCGTCCTTTCTCGTCATTTCTCGTCCTTTTCCGTCCTTTTCGTCCTTTCCGTCCTTTTTCGTCATTTTCGTCCTTTCCGTCCTTTTTAGTCCTTTTCGTTCCTTTCGTCCTTTTTCGTCCTTATTATTCTTTTTCGTAATTTTCGTCCTTTCCGTCCTTTTTCGTCATTTTCGTCCTTTCCGTCCTTTTTCGTCCTTTTCGTCTTTTTCGTCCTTTCTCGTCGTTTTCGTCCTTTCCGTCCTTTTCCGTCGTTTTCGTCCTTTTCGTCCTTTTCGTCCTTTCTCGTCATTTCTCGTCCTTTTTCGTCCTTTTTCGTCCTTTTCGTCCCTTTCGTCCTTCTTCGTCCTTGTCGTCCTTTCTGGTTTTTTTCGTCCTTCTTCGTCCTATTTGTCCTTTGCCGTCCTTTTTCATCCTTTTTCGTCCTGTTCGTCCTTTTTCGTTCTTTTCATCCTTTTCGTCCTTTCATCCTTTCGTCCTTTTTCGTGCCTTTCGTCCTTTTCGTCCTTTTTCGTCCTTTTCGTCCTGATTCGCACTTTTCGTCCTTTTCGTTCTTTTTCGTCCTTATTATCTTTTTTAGTCCTTTTCGTCCTTTCCCGTCCTTTCTCGTCCTTTTTCGCCCTTATTATCCTTCTTCGTCCTTTTCGTCCTTCTTCGTCCTTATTATCCTTTTCCGTCCTTTTCGTCCTTTTCGTCCTTTTTTGTCCTTGTTATCATTTTCCGTCCTTTCTCGTCCTTTTTCGTCGTTATTATTTTTTTTCGTCCCTTTGGTCCTTTTCGTCCTTTTTCGTACTTATTCGTCCTTATTATCCTGTTTCGTCCTTTTCCTCCTTTTCGTCCTTCTTCGTCCTAATTATCCTTTTTAGTCCTTTTCATACTTCCCGTCCTTTTTCGTCCTTGTCGTCCATTTTCGTCCTTCCTCGTCGTTTTTTGTCCTTTTCGTCCTTATTATCATTCTTCGTCATTTTGGTCCTTTGTGTCCTTTTTCGTCCTTTTCGTCCTTCTTCGTCCTTATTATCCTTTTCCGTCCTTTTCGTCTTTTTCGTCCTGTTTTGTCCTTGTTATCCTTTTTAGTTCTTTTCGGCCTTTTCGTCCTTTTCGTCCTTTTTCGTCCTTTTGGTCCCTTTTTCGCGCCTTTCGTCCTTTTCGTCCTTTTCGGCCTTCTTCGTCCTTGTTATCCTTTTTCGTCATTTTGGTCCTTCGCGTCCTTTATCGTCCTTTTTCGTCCTTATTATCCTTTTCGTCCTTTTTCGTACTTACTATCCTTTTTCGTCCTTTTCGTCCTTCTTCGTCCTTATTATACTTTTTCGTCATTTTGGTCCTTTGCGTCCTTTTTCGTCCTTATTATCCTTTTGCGTCCTTTTCGTCCTTCTTCGTCCTTATTATCCTTTTCCGTCCTTTTCGTCCTTTTTCGTACTTACTATCCTTTTTCGTCCTTTTGGTCCCTTTTTCGTCCCTTTCGTCCTTTTCGTCCTTTTCGTCCTTCTTCGTTCTTATTATCCTTTTTTGTCATTTTGGTCCTTTGCATCCTTTTTCGTTCTTATTATCCTTTTGCGTCCTTTTCGTCCTTCTTCGTCCTTATTATCCTTTTCCGTCCTTTTCGAACTTTTTCGTACTTACTATACTTTTTCGTTCTTTTGGTCCCTTTTTCGTCCTTTTTGTACTTTTCGTCCTTTTTCGTCCTTTTCGTTCTTTTTCGTCATTTTCGTCCTTTTTCGTCCATTTCACACTGTCCGTCCTTTTTCGTCCTTTTTCGTCCTTGTCGTCAATTTTCGTCCTTTCCGTACTTTCCCGTCGTTTTTCGTCCTTCTTCGTCCTTTTGGTCTTTTTCGTTCTTTTTCGTTTTTTTTTCGCCCTTATTATCCTTTTTTGTCCTTTTTCGTCCTTATTATCCTTTTTCGTCCTTTTCGTCCTTTCTCGTGCTTTCTCGTCCTTTCTCGTCCTTTTTCGTACTTTTCGTCCTTTTTCGTCCTTATTATCCGTTTTCGTCCATTTCGTCCTTTTTCGTCCTTTTCGTCCTTTTTCGTCCTTTTTCGTCCTTTTTGTCCTTTTCGTCCTTTTTCGTCCTTTTCGTCCTATTTCGTTCTTATTATCCTTTTGCTTCCTTTTTCGTCCTTTTTCGTCGTTATTATCCTTTTTCGTCCGTTTCGTCCTTTTTCGTCCTTATTATCCGTTTTCGTCCATTTCGTCCTTTTTAGTCCTTTTTGGTCCATTTTGTCCTTTTCGGCCTTTTTCGTCTTTTTCGTCCTATTTCGTTCTTACTATCCTTTTGCGTCCTTTTTCGTTCTTTTTCGTGGTTATTATCCTTTTTCGTCCTTTTCGTCCTTTTCGTCCTTTTTTGTCCTTATTACCCTTTTTCGTCCTTTTCGTCCTTTTTCGTCCTATCAAAAGCGAAATGGGTGGGGTTAGTTTTACCTTTCTGTCTAGATTTCACTGTTTATCAATATAAAACCTCCTTTTAGTCCAATAAAATCACTGATAAGTTAGAAAACCGGGTGGGTGGGAGGGGCCACTTTTTTTAAGCGAAGATTCGACTACTTGACAAAATAAAATTCGACCTTCATCTAATCAAAAAAGCCAATGAAAATCAAAAGTGGAAATGGGTGGGGTTAATTTTACCTTTTTGTCCAGATTCCACTGTTTATCAATTTACAATCCACTTTTTGTCCAATAAAATGAGTGGTCAGAAAGGAAAGCGGGTGGGTGGGAGGGGCCACTTTGAATTTTTTTAAGCGTTTATTGGACCACTTGACGAACTAAAATAAAATTTTCATCTCGGAGAAAATAAAATAAGCCAATTAAATTCAAAAACGGAGCTGGGTGGAGTTAGTTTTACACTTTTTTGTCTAGATTCCACTAGTTATCAATAGAAAATACACAATAAATAGAATAAGCCAATGAAATGCAGACGCAAGTGGGTGGGGTTAATTTTACGTTTTAGTTTATTTAGTTCGTCAATATAAAATCAATTTTTCGTGTCACAGCCAATAAGATAAGATAAGATTTTTTGTTTTTTTTGACAAAAAATGTAGTCTAAATTTTAATTCTAAAATAAGGAATAATTTTTCAAATTTGCACAATACCGAACTTTTGCTTCGGTTCGGTATAATTTTCAATACCAATATTTCTAAAATCGTAACTATCAAGAACACGTTATATTCTTGAAATCGGCACGTCGAAATCTATTTCCAAAATTTTTTTGTGATTTTTAGGAATTTTTTTTCAAAATAAAAATTTTTTAGTATTTTCTCTTATGAAAATGTCGGCATTTTTCAACCTTCGTGACACCTTAATCAAAGGCATTTTTTTGTAGATTTCGACCTCCGGAAGTTATTTTCGAATCGTCTATTGAAATATGACAGGTTTTTGGATTTTGAAAAAAAATTGAATTTCATATATTTCTAAAATTTTGTCCCCGAACAATAAACAGGCTAGATTTTTTTAAAATAAACACATCGAACTCTATATCTCCGAATTTTTTTGGAATTTTTGGCGACGTTTTCCAAATAAAATGTTTTCAAAATCGAAAAATGGCTTTGTATGTGATTTTCTCACTTTGCTACTTACCATTCAGCAATATTGAAAGACGATTTCCAACACTACTAAAAAATCGACCCATAAATCTCCAACTTTGCATCAGTTCAATATTCATGCAAATCAGCTAATTAGCACCTCAATGCTAACACCCGATGAGACAATAATTTCCACGCTACTTAACATTTTATGTCTGCCATAAACCACCACCTTAACAATTCCATCTACATATTAAACGCCAAATGTAGGGCACCAGGAAGAGACCTTTCTTGGGAGAATATTTCGATGACGCAACCCAGTTCACGGCTTGATAGGCTCGGCAAAGATCTTGCCGTTACATAACCCCCTGTATATGTCTCGCCCACTCTGACTGAAGCATTGCAAAAGTTCTAAAAGCGTTCCCCCCCTCAACACAACCGAGTTTATAAAGATAAGCAAAAGCAACCACCCGGAGTAGTTTCAAGACCATGCTGTAGGATTAGTGTCGCAATTTAATAAAGTAAGTAAATCGTAGCCCTAAACTACCCCTAAATTACGCTTTTGTAAGGGAGAAAATGTCGGTTTCGCGAAAACTGTTGGCTTCCAATAAGAGGGTCCTGGTGGTGGCACAGAGATGCTATGGTACAGATCGCCCTTATTCGACTGCTTTGGGTATAATGCCTGGAATGTTCGACGAGGTTCCTGTGGTGGAGAGGGTCGAAAGGGTCGACAGTGTCCCTAAACCTTATAGTGCCGTTCCGGGACCTAAAGAGCTGCCCTTTATTGGAAACGCGTGGCGCTTCGCGCCCATCATAGGCCAGTATAAAATCCAGGAACTGGATAAGGTCATGTGGTCGCTGAACAAGGAGTACGGAAGGATCGTCAAAGTGGGGGGTTTGATAGGGCATCCGGATCTCCTGTTTGTGTTCAATGGCGACGACATCGAGAAGGTTTTCAGGATGGAGGAAACCATGCCCCATCGACCCTCCATGCCGTCCTTACACTACTATAAACAAATCCTGAAGAAGGACTTCTTCGACGGAAACGCAGGAGTTATAGGGGTGCATGGCCCGAAATGGGACGAATTCAGGAAGAAAGTCCAACACGCGCTGCTCCCGCCCCACATAGCCAAAAACTATGTCGAACCGCTCGATGTCATAGCCGGCGATTTTTTACACCGGTAAGTGATTTCCGGATTATTATCTCAAATATGTAATTATCGGTCGAAGTATCTGGTACGGTCCTGGGGGTATTGCATAATACCAAATAGCGTTCCGTGACCCACTTGTGGTAAAAGTAGAGTTTTATAAGACTTCAGGTGGTTCCTGCGTCTGAGAAAACTTGCTTATCACAACAAACCATAAATCTGTCGATTTTACAATCCAGGAAATGATTTCAATCTGCGCGGATTATGTTAATAAGGAACCTGAAGGAGCATTGTTTTGTTTGGGTAATGAACACCACGAACGGATTTGTTTAAAATTTCTTCCGTGTTTCTAAATTAGCTCGAACGCTATTTTGTTTATAAAATGCGATTACGTGATATCCTGTGACAGATTAATAAGGATTTTTTGTTTCGTGGTTCCCAGGCGGTACTGGAAAAATTTGTGTTATTATGTCATGTATGTTAATCGAGCCACAACAAGGAAGACTAAACAGATTTATGGAATTGTAAGTGTGCAGCTTGTGTTTTTATGTAATAACAACTTATTAGATAATTTCGAAATAAATGAAAATTGTACATGTGGTACGAGTGGAGTGGCTGAGGTGATGACCTGTGAAAGCACCTGTATTGAAATTCAAGTGTCAAAGGAATCAAGATCACATTTTTTTTTAAATTTGCATTTTTTTTTCAGAATGGAAGAAATGCTCGACGCGAACCACGAGCTTCCCGACCACTTCCTCATGGAAATCTACAAATGGGCTCTGGAATGTAAGTTTCACTCCAGACTCCACCCTTCCTGATTTACCTGTTTCAGCCGTGGCTAGAGTCTCCCTCGACACCCGTCTCGGGTGCCTCGAGCCCAACCTACCCCCGCACTCGCAGTCCCAAAAAATCATCAACTCCATCAACACCTTTTTCTGGAACGTGGCCGAAGTGGAGCTCAAAATGCCCGTTTGGAGGGTGTACAAGAACAAATCCTTCAGGAAATACATCGGCGCTTTGGAGGATTTCAGAACGTAAGTATTACGCGAACCGCTAACCTAGATAATGAGACGGCTCACTTTCGATTTCTAACGTGAAAGTTGACTTTGAACTTGACTGCAAGCAAGGTGAATGGAATCACTCTTCCTTGTTATTAAATAATTTGTAGGTTGTGCTTGCAACACATCAACAAGTCAATGGAGAAGATGGAGGGCAAAAATTTCGACGAGATTAAGGAGAAGGACGTTTCGATTGTGGAGAGGATATTGTTGAAGACCAACAATCCCAAACTGGCGGCGGTTCTAGCTCTGGATTTGTTGCTAGTGGGGGTGGACACGGTAAGTTTTAGTCACTGTAGCCACAGTCGAACAAAGGGCGGAATTTTAGACCTCGATAGCCGCCGCCTCCACGCTCTACCAGTTGTCGCAGAATCCAGACAAGCAGCAGAAACTCTTCGAAGAACTGCGGCAGCTTTTGCCTGAAAACGACTCCAAAGTTAACGTGTCCATCATCGATAAAACCCCCTATCTGAAAGCTTGTGTTAGAGAGACCCTCCGGATGTACCCCGTGATCATCGGAAACGGGCGAAGTCTTCAGCAGGACACAGTTCTCGCCGGGTATCACGTACCAAAGGGGGTAACTAAAACTGACATAGCCAAAACTGTTTATATTTTTTATTTTTGGGTTTCAGACTCACGTTATTTTCCCACACTTGGTGGTGAGTAACAGCGAGGAATATTTTGACAAACCGGAGCGCTTTCTTCCGGAAAGGTGGCTCAAGACCCATGGTTGTCCTGTCAAACACAAAACGCACCCATTTGTGAGTTTGCCCTTTGGGTATGGTCGGAGGTCTTGTCTTGGCAGGCGGTTTGCTGAAGCCGAGTTACAAATTTTGCTGGCAAAGGTTTGTGTTTCGAGGGGTGTATTTAAAATTGTAATAGTTGAAATTTTCAGATCTTTAGAAAATATAAAGTTGAGTATAATTATGGACCCTTGTCTTATAAAATAACGCCTACGTATGTACCTGAGCAACCTCTGAAGTTTAGACTGACGGAACGAACTTAAGGCCAAATTCAGATTTTTGTAGTTTTAAGGATAGGTAAATAATAGGTTGTGATTATTCTTTTTTGCAATAAAAATATTTCTAACGTTTTTAAAAGTGTGTTTTTCTGTCCTGTTCCACACAACTTAAATATGTTCAATAAACACATTTGGAAAACACCGAGTGACTATAACGTCTGTGATTTTTTTTGTTCGGTTGGCTACATATTTAAAATTTTGTGATGGAGCTTCTGATTGCCAGATTGAAATTTATGACAGCTGTCATTTCAAAACACGTGACGATTGTCTTCGTCTTCTCACTTTTCCGTACGGATGGTCTTTTTGTTTTTTATTGCCTTTTAAATGTAATTCTCACTGGTGGGCGGGGCTATTGCTTGCTTAAAAAACTGTAGCCCCACCCACCCATCCTTATTCCATTTTGATGACCCTTTTATTGGCTCTGAGATGGAAGTTGGATTTAAACTGACAAATAATTGAATCTATAGCAACTATTTTTTTTATTTCAACACTTATTCGAAAAACGATCTCCTCGTCAACCTTTACATAAAAATATAAAAAAAATATTTAAAATAGACACAATGTAGTACAATTTAGCACCGCCCTTGTCTCTGAGCCAATGAAACGATATTTTAAAGTGGAGCTTGAGTGAATGGGAGGAGCATCAGTAATATTGCTTTTTTAATGTAATTCTCACGTCATATTTTTATCTAATACCAATTTAATACTTCCTAGATACCTTTGTTAGATTAATACTTTCTAGATACCTTTTTTACGATTTATCAATTTTTTTGCCAAAGATATAACATATTTGCCTAAGATTCTATAAGATAATAATATTTCCATTAATTAACAGTATTAAGATCAGTTACCAGAATCAAGAAGTGGGCGGGTGGGCGGGGCTATTGCTTAGTTAAAAGACTAGCCCCACCCACCCACCCTTATTCCAATTTGGTCACACTTTTTATTGGCTTTGAAATAGAAGTTGGATTTAAATTGACAAATAAACTAATTTTTAGAGAACTATTTTTTTTTTATTTTAATACTTATTCGAAAAACGACCTTGCCACCAACGTTTACATAGAAATATATAAAAAATCATTTAAAGTAGACACAATGTAATACAATTTAGCGCCGCCCTTGTCTCCGAGTCAATGAAACGATATTTTAAGGTGGAGCTTGAGTGAATGGGAGGAGCATCAGTAATGTTGTCTTTTAAATGTAATTCTCACATGTGATAATTTTATCTAATACCAGCTTAATACTTTCTAGATACCTTGTTTACGATTTATCAATTTTTTTGCCAACGATATAACATATTTGTCTCAGATTCTAATTAGTCACTAGAATCAAGAGAAGGGCGGGTGGGCGGGGCTATTGCTTACTTAAAAGAGTGTAGCCCCACCCACCCACCCTTATTCCATTTTGATGACCCTTTTTATTGGCTCTGAGATGAAAGTTGGATTTAAATTGACAAATAATTGAATCTATACACAACTATTTTTTTTTTAATTTTGACACTTATTCGAAAAACTATCTTGCCACCAACGTTTACATAGACATATTTAAAAAAATCATTTAAAGTAGACACAATTGATCGCCGCCCTTGCCTCCGGGCCAATGAGACGATATTTTAAGGTGGAGCTTGAGTGGGTGGGAGGAGCATCAGAAATGTTGCCTCTTAAATGTAATCTCACATTTGATATTTTCATTTAATACCACCTTAATTCTTTCTAGATACCTTGTTTAGTATTTATCAATTTTTTGCCAACAGTATAACATATTTGTCTAAGATTCTAGTAAGATAATAATGTTTCTATTAATTGACAGTATTAAGATCAGTCACTAAAATCAAGAGGTGGGCGGGTGGGCGGGGCTATTGCTTGATAGAAAGCCTAGAGCCCCACCCACCCACCCTTATTCCTTCTGATGACCCTTTTTATTGGCTTTGAGTTGGAAGTTGGATTTAAATTGACAAATAATTGAATTTATAGAAAACTATTTTTTTAAATTTTGACACTTATTTAGAAAAACTATCTTGCCACCACCGTTTACATAGAAATATTTAAAAAATCATTTAAAGTAGTTACAATGTAGTACAATTTAGCGCCGCCCTTGCCTCCTAGCCAATGAAACGATATTTTAAGGTGGAGCTTGAGTGAATAGGAGGAGCGTCAGTAATATTGCTTTTTAAAGGTAATTCTCACATTTGATATATTTTTTTTAAAACCAGCTTAATACTTTCTAGATACCTTGTTTACGATGTATCAATTTTTTTGCCAACGATATAACATATTTGTCTCAGATTCTAATTAGTCACTAGAATCAAGAGAAGGGCGGGTGGGCGGGGCTATTGCTTACTTAAAAGAGTGTAGCCCCACCCACCCACCCTTATTCCATTTTGATGACCCTTTTTATTGGCTTTGAGATGAAAGTTGGATTTAAATTGACACATAATTGAATTTATAGAAAACTATTTTTTTTAATTTTGACACTTATTCGAAAAACTATCTTGCCACCAACGTTTACATAGACATATTTAAAAAAATCATTTAAAGTAGACACAATTGATCGCCGCCCTTGCCTCCAGGCCAATGAGACGATATTTTAAGGTGGAGCTTGAGTGGGTGGGAGGAGCATCAGAAATGTTGCCTCTTAAATGTAATCTCACATTTGATATTTTCATTTAATACCACCTTAATTCTTTCTAGATACCTTGTTTAGTATTTATCAATTTTTTCCCAACAGTATAACATATTTGTCTAAGATTCTAGTAAGACAATAATGTTTCTATTAATTGACAGTATTAAGATCAGTCACTAAAATCAAGAGGTGGGCGGGTGGGCGGGGCTATTGCTTGATAGAAAGCCTAGAGCCCCACCCACCCACCCTTATTCCTTCTGATGACCCTTTTTATTGGTTTTGAGTTGGAAGTTGGATTTAAATTGACAAATAATTGAATTTATAGAAAACTATTTTTTTAAATTTTGACACTTATTTAGAAAAACTATCTTGCCACCAACGTTTACATAGAAATATTTAAAAAATCATTTAAAGTAGTTACAATGTAGTACAATTTAGCGCCGCCCTTGTCTCCGAGCCAATGAAACGATATTTTAAGGTGGAGCTTGAGTGAATAGGAGGAGCGTCAGTAATATTGCTTTTTAAAGGTAATTCTCACATTTGATATATATTTTTTAAATCCAGCTTAATACTTTCTAGATACCTTGTTTACGATATATCAATTTTTTTGCCAAAGATATAACATATTTGTACAGGATTCCAATAAGATAATAATGTTCCCATTAGTTAACAGAATTAAGATTAGTCACTAGAATCAAGAGGTGGGTGGGTGGGCGGGGCTATTGCTTCTTTATAAGAGGATAGCCCCGCCCACCCACCCTTATCACATTTTGATGACCCGTTTTATTGACTCTGAGATCGAAGTTGGATTTAAATTGACAAATAATTGAATCTATAGAGAACTATTGTTTTTTTTTATTTTAACACCTATTCGAAAAACGGCCTTGCCACCAAAGTTTACATAGCAATATTAAAAAAAAAATCATTTAAAGGACACACAATGTGTACAATTTAGCGCCGTCCTTGTCTCCGAGCCAATGAAACGATATTTTAAGGTGGAGCTTGAGTGAATGGGAGGAGCATCAGTAATATTGCATTTTAAATGTAATTCTCACATGTCATATTTTTATTTAATAGCAGCTTAATACTTTCTAGATACCTTGTTTACGATTTATCAATTTTTTTGCCAAAGATATAACATATTTGTACAAGATTCCAATAAGATAATAATGTTTCCATTAGTTAACAGTATTAATATCAGTTACTAGAATCAAGAGGTGGGTGGGTGGGCGGAACTATTGCTTGGTTAAAAGACTAGCCCCACCCACCCACCCTTATTCCATTTTGGTGACCCTTTTTATTGGCTTTGAAATAAAAGTTGGATTTAAACTGACAAATAAATGAATTTTTAGAGAACTATTTTTTTTAATTTTAACACTTATTCGAAAAACAACTTTACTACCAACGTTTACTTAGAAATACATAAAAAATCATTTAAAGTAGACACAATGTAGTATAATTTAACGCCGCCCTTGTCTCCGAGCCACTGAAACGATAATTTAAGGTGGAGCTTGAGTGAGTGGGATGAACATTATTAATGTTGCCTTTTAAATGTGATTATCACATTTTATATTTTAATTTAATACCACCTTAATTCTTTCTAGATACCTTGTTTACTATTTATCAATTTTTTGCCAACAGTATCACATATTTGTCTAAGATTCTAGTAATATAATAATGTTTTTACTAATTAAGAGTGTTAAAATCAGTCACTAGACAAGAAGTGGGTGGGTGGGCGGGGCTATAGCTTGCTTAACAGATTGTAGTCCCACCCACCCACCCTTATTCTATTATGATGATCTTTTTATTGGCTCTGAGACAGAAGTTGTATTTAAATTGACAAATAATTGAATCTATATAGAACTGTTTTTTTTAACAAAATTTTAACACTTATTCGAACAACGACCTTGCCACCAACGTTTTCATAGAAATATTAAAAAAAAATCATATAAAGTAGACACCATGTAGTATTTCTCTAACCGCCGCCCTTGCCTCCGAGCCAATGAAACGATATTTTAAGGTGGATCTTGAGTGAGTGGGAGGAGCATCAGTAATATTGCTTTTTAAAGGTAATTCTAAAATGTGATATTTTGACTTAATACCACTTTAGTTCTTTCTAGATACCTTGTTTGCGATTTATCCTTTTTTTTAATCAACGTTATAACATATTTGTCTAAGATTTTAATAAGACAGTAATGTTTCTATTAATTAACAGTATTAAAGTCAGCCACTATAATCAAGAGTTGGGCGGGTGGGAGGGGCTATTGCTTGATAGAAAGATTGGAACCCCACCCACCCACCCGTATTCCATTTTGATGAACCTTTTTATTGGCTTTGAAATAGAAGTTGGATTTAAATTGACAAATAAATGAATTTTTAGAGAACTATTTTTTTAAATTTTAACACTTATTCGAAAAACAACTTTACTA